GTCTCCAAAAACATTGGAGCACTTTTGCAAATATCCAATGTCTTGATAAACCAAGAAGAAATTTGAAGTTTACACAGCTATTTTCTCGCCTGAAAATATGTTAAAAGTTTATTTTGTGACCCAGAAAGATTGATAAGAGTAATATTAAAACTTAGTAGCGGCAGCCATTCTTGGAAACTGGAATTGGCTGGGCCGCGCTATGAATTCTGGGATATGGTAGGCCACGAAGGACACACCCGACCCATCCTTCAAAAAAGAAGGACGCATTTGTGGATGCAGTCTACGTTTTGGGACACAGCCTGTGTTTATGGTATGCTATGTTATGATATATGTTATGTTATGATCACGTAGCAAATCATTATATACTAGCTTGTTATAGTATAGGGTTACTATACTTCAGTAACCCTAGAAAAGTCACTACTGTCTAGTTTTCTGTCTTCAGTTATGTTGGAAGTGATAGCAGAGTTGTACGTTTTAATTTTTTCAGAAATCTCTCAGTCATAATACACCAGAACATGGTGTATTATGACTTCTAACTCCATTAAATTTAATAAATTCTGTTTTCATGGATGCCTAGACGTTAAACTTAATTGTTACACCTGATAAAGCAGCAACACTGATCATTTTATTATAGATCAAAGAATTTAGACAATTTTTTACTCTTAGTGATGCCGCAGTGTTCGTTTGACTTTGGGACCCGAAGCGGAGTTTGGACCCAGATGAGGATTCCAACTACGATAGCCGTAATGCTCCAACAATCCATCACGCGGTGTGGCTTCGTAGCTTACCAAAGTCGTACTAAAACATTTTTTAACAGATTTCTACTCGCCGTGTACCACATAAAATCAGTTCGAGGTCAGTAAGCACAACCAGAGTTCATACATAAGGATTATAAGGCGCACTGTCGATTTTTGAGAAAATTAAAGAATTTTAAGTGCGCCTTATAGTCTGAAAAATACGGTACTTAATTTCCCTCAAATTAATGAGCATACTGCTTTAAAGTTGTAGTTGTAAATAATTTTAATTGTGTGCATAATTCTGATCATTAGAGAATAAACTGTTATCATATTTGTAGTTTAAAATCTGCAAAATAAAATAAATGAACCTTTAAAAAATGGTGTGGTGTACAAAAGACAATATTTACATGCAAAATATAGAAAATGGCATGACATAGAAATATTTATGTACAAATACATTAAACTGTACCTCAGTAAAGTATTTGAGTAAATGTACAGTTAAGTTGCAGAGTCCCAATTCATGCTTTCAGTGCTTAACTTAACAATCCAGTGTCACCAGTGGTCTTCGGGTGGTGGCCAGTCATATTTCAGGGGAAGTAGAGGCAGTGCTAACCCATGCACACAACGGTGTGTCCAAAAGGGGGCAGTCATGTAGAGCAAATGCAGAGCACACAGCTGCAAAGATAGAAGTCCGAGAAAGTATTTCATGATCAAAGAGGACACGAGAAGCAGAGGGAGGAACACTGGTAAGAAAACAGAACGACAAACCAAATACAACAGCAAACTCAGGAATAATATATCCTCCTGCCCACTCTGCCCGATCTATCAGGCTCTGTCTTTAGGGGATGGTCAGTGTGTGAGGGGAAGCACATCTGTTGGCACTTGGCTAAGGCTTGATAACATCCTCTCTTCTCCCAGCAGGCATCAGGTTGGTTTAGGTTTGGCTTGGGGTTTAATTTTCTTTCTTTGAAAAAGCCCAATATGCGGTGCATCCACCAGACCCCCAAAAAGTGACTAACTAACAAAAACATGAACATCTCAGGAGCTATGAAAGAAAAGTGACTGGACTTCTTTAAGTATCTTGAAGATGTTTAAGAAAAGGGGTCACTTTTCTTTTACAAGCGCCTTAGATTACCATGACCTGGATGACTGAGAATCTACACAGACATAAAAACATGAACACTACACAAGGGTTAAAGTCACCCTGTTACACTTCATTAGGTGCACAGGTTCATCTGCTCATTAATGCAAAATCACAGGGCGGCAAGTCAGTGCAGTGAGGCACATAGTAATGGTCAAAACTGAGCATCAGAACAGGGAAAAGGGTACTTTAAGTGACTGTATATGTGGCATCGTTGTAGGTGTTAGAAGGGCTGGTCTGAAAAACAGAAAATATCCCATGAGCAGCAGTCCTCTGGGTGAAAAGGCCTTGCAGATGACGAAGGTCAGAGAAAAATGGCCAAAATGGCACTTTGAGATGGAAGTAAGGCAACAGTAAATCAATTAACCATACTTTAACACCAAGGTAGCATCTCTAAATGTCAAAAACTGAAGCAGTTGAGCTACAGCAGCAGAAAACCAAACTGGGTACCACTCATGTCTGCTAAGAACAAGAAACTTAGTCTACAATTCACCAAAACTGGATAGAAAGATCGGAAAAATAGTCCTTGAACTGAGGAGTTTTGATTACTTCTGCAACATTTAGCTGGTAGGATCAACATTTGGCATCAAAATCTTTGCCAAAAATGACTCCTTGGTACCATCTAAGCATCATTTAAACACCACAGCCTGCCTAAGTATTGTTGCTGACCGTGTCTGTCCCACAGTGTACCCATCTTCTGACAGCTGCTTCCAACGGGAAGCTACTCATGTCACAAAGCTCAAATCATCAAGTTAACTGTACTCAAATGGCCTCCATAGTCACCACATTTGAATCCAATAGACCACTTCTATGTGGTGGGACAGGAGATTGTCATCATAGCACATAAGATAAGTTCAGCATGTGCTTTCCTGCCATTAGTACAACAGTACAGATACCAAATGTCATAGAAGGTGGTTAGCCCAAACCACTGCTCAAAATAATGATCACTGCATGACTGAAATTTAAGGATGTGGTGAACTTGGATAAGCAAGATTTTATTTGAGATTTGCCTTTTTATGTGTTCTTACTTTTGATCAGTTAGTTATCAAAAGCCTCAGTGTGATGCATGGCAGAACACATGTGCTGAAATTATATGCTCAGATTACTCTTTTGGGCCACTTTATGCTAGTGTAGCATTGTGAGTTGGATAACAGATGGGAAAACACCATTAAGTAATAAGTCACCACAAGCCTCAAAAGCAACATTAGTGCTCCTTGTTTTGGATTCCCCAAATCTCTAAAAACCTACTGAAGGAATGAGCACCATTCTTGAAAAATGAATCTCTTAATTTGGTGTTTTTATGACATGTTATCCCAAAACCTCTTACTGTTGCCTGCTGGGGCTGAGATAAGGTGACGGTGAAAACAATAACCAGTGGTTTACGGCATTTCTTTTCTCATCAAAGCATTCATTGACATCTGTTGTCCTGTAGATGGTGCCCTTGTCATGCTTGAAGCGATGCCCATTAGGCTAGAAGAATTTCAACAAAGGGTGACTTTACAGCGCTGATTCTAAAGCACAGAATTAAACATTTTATCATTAATTCGTAAATAATTAAGCAGAAGTATCTCAAATAACTGTTCCAGTGGTTATGGTAATGTTTATTGTCCACAGTTTTTGTGTTAGCTAATTTAATGTGACTTTTCCCGATTCAGAGCACTTGGTTCTGTTTCATTTCCATGTGACTCAGATTCATGTCACCTTTCCATCAGACATTTTGATCTGTCACAGCAGAAGTAGCGCTTGGTACATAAAACCAAATTTGGTTTTAATGAGAGGCCACCTCTTACTAAGCCTCTCTTAAGTCTTATGAAATGATGAGTGCTATAAATCATTATTCCCCCCTTAGCAGCATTTGATTTGGAAGTTTTGAGCACATCCCCCTGCCAGTGTGACACTTGTTTTGCCTTTTACGGTTTCTGAAAGAAAAAAAGGATTGATTAATGCTGTATTAACTGCAGTCAGTAACTGACTCTGATTCTCACCCGTTGCAGGCACATAGAAACGGTGCCAAAAACAGTTTGGTGAAATTTGACTCCTTATTCGTAAATCATAAAAAAGAAGAAAAGTGTACAGGAGAGAGAAACGGTCTGAGTGTTTGAAAAAGAAAAACGAGTGCGAGGAGAGGAGAGAAAGGGGAGATGTGGGTTTGAGGTTTGTGAACCAGTTTCTCAGAGAGGAGTCTGGTGGATGGAGGGAGGGGAGCTGTGAGGATAAATGCACTCTTTCATTTCAACTTGAGAGAAATCCGTTACTAGAGACACATGTTTACACGGACAGAGAAGCGGGGGAGCCTAAAATAAGAGAAATAAGCGGAGTGGATCATGGATAACGTGCTGTCAAAGATACCGCTCACGACAGTGCTCCTCAGACTTTGGGACTGATGAGCGGAGTTTCTGTCAGAGGAGTTTGAGCTTCAAAGACGCGCTCCGGAGTCTGGAGGGATAAAGCTGCTGCCTGCCTGTTTGTGAAGGCGTTACACATTTGTAATGGTTTAATGAGTCGGAACTGCGGCCTCTTGTTGGATGGGACAGGTGCAGTTATTGTCACGCCATGGGTCACTAAGACGTCACAAAGTTGATTTTTCATTTTTACATTTTTAAGACGTTTTCGCTCACGTTAACATAAGACGAGAAGAAGAAGAAAATCATAGCCAGATTTTTCGTTTTCGACCGGTTTATTCTATTTGAATCAGTATTTAAGCTCCTGAAGCTGAACCCCATTCACGCACGTGGCATGCCACCTCGGCACAGTTTGGCCGACTTTTACGCATCTCTTGGAAAGAGAAAAAGCTGAAAACAAGCGTGTCTGTGTATGTGTGCGGTGGGCAACGACGCTCCTCATTTCCACTTAATAAACGAGGGAAAAGGGGGGAAAAACATTAAAGAGAGACTTCTTTCATTCGGATTCATAAATGGAGCTGCGTAAATACCTGTTGTGCCTGGAGTTTATCCTCCTCCTTACAGGTAAGAGCCACATCTCAGCCTATATTTCAGACCTTTAAAAAAAAAACCTGTTACATTTCTTTAAAAAGCCAAACAAAACTGAAGGACAGTTTAAAATAAGGTGAAGTTATTCATTCAGTTAATTCAGTTAATCCAACGCTGTGAACACAAATCTAAGTATATTCATCTCTGTGTAAAACAAGGCTCTGGTGTCGCTCCACTGCCCAGTTCCTTACCCCTCACTCAGCACTCTCTTACTGGTGATTAACCTCCCTCAACTTTAAAAGACAGCATGTGCCAGTGATGGTGTGGCAGCCTCCCTGAGGCCCACTTAACACTGTGTGACAGTAAACTACTGACCATGAAGACATTCCTCAGATGATTTTGTGCTTAAAGAAGGAAAGCAGGCATCTTAAAACACCTGGACACACTCCATTTGCCAAATAAATCAAAGGTAAAGGAAGCTGTGCCTAAAGAGTACCGGTTCTTGGTACAAAGTCAGATCCTTTAGTAAATCTATCACATATGTTTGAACTGAGGACATATTTCATTTTTGTTGGAAGTCTCCAGCTACCATCAGATATATGTGTACTCAGAGCCAAAAGGTTACCGGTTCATATCCGCTTATAGCTGACACATACAAACCCTGGCAGCTGTGTAACACGACCTCACCGGCCATATCAGCCATCTCTTAGACTTGATGTCTAAAGTTCCCCTAATAGGGTGCCTGTGCCATGTGTGTTTCTTCATGGAGCATGAACATCAGCTCCCCTTCAGTACTCATGTTCGCTGTGCCACAGAACAAACCGAGACGTTCCCACCCACCAGAAAGAAAGTGAAGAAAAAGGCCATTGTTGTCTGCATACTGATGCAGCTGATAAGCAGTGGTTAACTGCTGCCCTGCGCCATGCAACCACGATGCAAAATTAGATCAATAGGCGTTGAGATTATGTTTTGCAAGGCATGTTAAATCTGTACCTGTGTCAAATCACGCACAGTCGCTGAAGTTAATCTATAGAATGAAATGTTGCCATTTGTGGTCATTTGTGGTCATTTGTGGCAATTTGTGGCAATTTGTGGCGTGATTATCCACGCTGCCCATTTTCACCCTTGTTCAGACCCCAAGGAATGAATGAGGAATGCATCGGGTACGAATGTTTCACGCTTTACACTCACCGGCGCATATACCCTTCATAGAAACACCAGCAGCCTGTGGTGTGGTTTTACACATTACACTCCATTACACGTTTCAATAAAGCATGAACAAGCCGACGTTTTTTTCACCTTTTTAACCATGTAGCCTCTATTTTAATTCGTGCAGTAGCTTAGTGTTTACGCTCGTCCCTGCGTGTGAGTTTGTAAGCCTGAGCATGTGTCACACAGGAGCATGTAGGTGAGTGAGTATGTGTGTAATGTTAATGGCTTCAGCAGAACTCCCCTGATGTGGTCAGCAGGCATCTCATGTCTGTTACACTCTGCTATGCTTTTACTGAGATGTCAAACACAGGTGTGTTTGCATGTGTGTGTGTGTGTGTGTGTGTGCATATTTCACTCTGTTTCACTGCTCATTCATAAATCCTTGCTATTATTCTCCCAGCTATCTTCTTGCGTGTTTTCTTTTACTCTCCCATAATTCGCTGACTTTCATTCCTACTCCCCCTCTTATTCGTCCACCCCCATTCCCCACGAGAGGGTGACAGAGATGAGAACAGAACACGATGGAGATAATGGAGAGAAAATCTGTGAAAGGGTGTAAGAAGAGGTGAAGGAGGGAGAATGAGTGGAGGAACATTATGAGTCACTTCTATACAGATGACAGAAACAGACTGAATAAGACATCTCTGCTCAAGGACATTTCACAGAGGTGCTGTAAGTCAGACATGTAAATTAAAGAGGACAGGGATATACATCATTGTCTTTAGTTAAAGCTCTAAATGCTGGCATGTCTCTGTAGTCCCCCAAACACTGTAGTGCTAAGTTCCATTCCTTTTGCCCGACATGTGCACACACATGCACATACATATACTGTACTACACAATCGCAACCATTCACATCAAGCAGCAGTAGCGCCCAGAGCTGAGCGTGTGGTTGAGAGAATCTGGACTTAGTTTGGCTTGATAAATGTTTGCCGGCAGTTGTCATGGCAATGGGTGGTCAGACAGCTTGTGGTAAAGTGTCATATATAAACCAAGATGAAAATACAACCAGAGGACAGGGAAAACAGGGAATGATGGTATAGTTTTCTGGAAGCTGCAGGGGTTGAGACAGGAGATTTGTCCTTGTGGTGCATTTATAGCGTGTGTGTCTGCTCATTTTATAGCACAGTGGGCAAAAAATAAATAAAATGAGCAATTTAAGGCTCATGAGAGAATGAGCTAAACACGAGGATAAAAGAGAACATCAGTAGCAGGAGCTGTTATCAGATCCCTGCTTTGATGTGGGAAGAAATCTGGAGTTGGAGTGTGGGTGACATTGTCTCAAGAAAAGAGAGAAACAGTTTACTGCAGTGTGTTAGACGGGTGGTGGGTGTCAATCTGAAAGAATAGCTAATTGCAAAAAGCCTGGGAAAATGGATTTTCTTTCTCTGGCAAGGGAAATAAAGACTGCAGAATTATTATACTGCTGCCTACGCGGATCCCCAATGCTGAAGCCTGTTAAAACATCTGTGCAGAACTGGATAGATGCATGAGGCTCATCTTAGTCACTGGAGGCTTGGATAAAGAAATACTGGAAGCTTGCGCTGATGTGCAAAATCAGCAGAAACAAGACTTAAGGGTCTATAACCATGCCAGCAGCTCTGTGAGGCAGTGTTTGAGACAATGCTCATTGGTTCTTCCAGTATAGACGACTAAATATAAACACTTTTAGAATAACATAGTTAGTATAATATACTTTTTTATTACATCATTTATATCTCACTCAATTAACTGTAAATGTGTAACCAGAAGACCTAATTTTGCGAAAATAATTACATTTTATTAACATCACTGCAATGCTATTAATACTTAATGATGAACTAATTGATCAGTTGATCTAAAAATTGGTTGTTGTTTGGTGCAGTTGGAAAAATTATGTGTAAGCTGGTCATCGAACTGTTGGGATTTTCTCTCTAATGTTGTAGGATCGTTACTCTGCACTGTAAAGCAGCTTGAGGGAACTGTTGTTGTGATTTGGAGCTACACTAAATCGAATTAAATTGCACGTTTATTTGTACGGGCCAATAATCAGCCTTCTGTTGTTCCAACATCCAGTATATCCCCAAAAGTTGATTCTGTTCATCCGGACGTAGAGTTTTCAGTGGGAGAAACGTTTTGTCACTCATCCAAGTCATGTTGGTGAATTGTCTCATCTCGCCTTCCCTCCATATTTTAATCAACAGAAACCTGCTTAGTGAACCATAGTATGACCAACTTTTGTAAAATGCCCATCATTTTTTATTTAAAAAAAAAGAAAAAGAGTGAGACTATAAGCTCAGCAGGAAAGTGCTTGCAAAGGCCAAGTCAGGAGTCTTTTTACAACCACATTTATCGTCCCCTTATGGCTATTATAGGGTCAGAATCAATCACAGGGCCAATGTAGTTTATGGCCAGTTTAGAAAACACAAACAATTTAGCTTTCATGGACATTGGAGAGAGCCCAGAAAGCTACAAGAAGAACATTCAAATGAAAAAAATCAAGGGAACCCGTTGGCAGCAGGTTTGAACCCGAACCCTTCTTACTGTGAGGTGACAGGTTAACCACTGCATCACTGTGCTATTCTCATCCAGTTGTCGTCAAGGTAAATTACAACCAATAAAGTCAAACTCAAAGTGGTGACAGACAAAAAGTCTCTTCGTGTAATAATTTATTGACATAACTTAATCTACACAAGAAAATCTGCTGTTGCCATGAATGAAAACCTCCATCTTTGTAGGTGTATGTGGCGAGTACGTCTATGTAGATAAAACCAGACGAAATGTGTGTGACAATGCAGTTATATTACAAGAAAGACAATCTGTAGAGAAAAGTGAAGAAGCAGGTAGAAGAAACTACAGTGTGTGAGAAAAGCATGAGCAGGGATGGAAAAGAAACACTGAACATATCTAGTTTCATTCTCTAAACCAAGTGGAATCCCAATCTGATTGGCTTGGCTGAGGTACAATCCTGTGCAAAAGTCTTGATTCGCCCCTCATTTCTTTATATTTTGCTGGGAAACTGAGAAATATGTGCAGCGATTTATTGAAATATGTGCAAGAATACGTGGAAATACAGTGTGTAAGGCACAAATGAAGTTTGTACAATTCTAATGAGTTTGAAGGTCAATATTTGATATGACCACCTTTATTGTTTCCACAGCCTGCACTCTCTCAGGCAGCTTTCATGTCATTCAAAGCTTTTGTTCTGTTTTCCATCAAGAAGATCACTGCTTCACTGATGTTGAGGTCTGGGCTCTGGGGAGGCCAGTCCATGACTCACAGTGCTCCTTTATGAGGTTTTCTATCCAGGTATGCTTTTACTGCATTGGCAATGTGATTGGGATCATTTTCATGCTGGAAAATCAGGCTTCTGGCTATCAGATGCTTTCCAGATGGTAATGTGTGGTGGATAAAAATCTGATGGTACTTTTCTGTGTTCATAATTTCATCAGTTTCAAGATCTCCAGCCCTACTCTCTGAAATGCAGCAAATGCAAAAACCTCGCCACTGACCTTCTCCATACACACTGATGAGAATTTTAACAATAAATTTCAAATTTGGATGATCACTCCATCAGACCTGTTGCCACTGATTTTTCTACCATTTCTTGTGTAATTTGGTAAAACGCAGCCGTGTCTTCAACTGAGACCAACTCTGATGAGGCTTCAGTCATGTGTCTTTGCTGGCTTTAAGATAATGCTGTGGCACTATGACACTACGCTGACACAAAAACAAGTTTTGAGCTAATAGCACTTGGAAATCATTTTGCTGGTACAAAAATATTATTTTATGCCCGTCAGACCTGGCTTATCTTACATTTTTCATTGATTCGAGTAAAAAAATGGAAACAAATAATGCTTGTTCATACAGACTCTTTGCAATAAAGTGTCTAAAGATACAGTTTAAAATGAGTGCTTTGCTAAATTGTCTGTTATGTGTTGAGACAACACTGGTTTATCCTTTGGGTTGACCTGAATGATTTATAGGTCAGTATCAAGTGTTTTAAAAGCAATCAAACAAATATTCTTCTGAAAAATTGTTAGATACAAGAACCTGACTAAAAATGAGTGAAAAAGCAGCCAATGTCCAAAGAAAAACTTTGAAAGACCTTCAGAAAGCTCGGAGAACTATTGCTCAACACCATTTTAAAAACTTTAGGAAACTGTGGCTCCTTAGAAGCAAAGTATAAATAATTGAGGAGTGAGGCAAGACTTTTGCACAGAATTGTAACTGTCTGTGTTTAGTTGTGGGAAAGTACCTGGACACAAGTGTGTAAGCAGCTGTTTCATAATCATGCCACCAGTATTTTGGTCTGCTTCCCAGTCTGGGGGTACTGGAGAAGTTACAGAACTGTTAGGAAGGAGCTGTAGATGTTGCTAAACTGCTCAGTAAACTGAAGCCATTCTGAAAGCCCATTTTAGCAACCACATCCAACACACCCTACAAATAACATACAGTAGACACACAAGTGGGACAAGTTAAATACCGACTGTTGAGATCTGCAGAGTGTGTCTCAGTCTGAACTGAAAATAATACACGATGACTCTCTTTAATCTATGGGGAACTGTGTAGGCAAGAAATACCAGCTGGCTCATATCCTGTAAGCTACTTTCAACCACTTCAGTGGAAACAGGAAATACATATATATCTGCTTAAATGTTTGCTTGACAACATTTTCTTTAATTTGTATTGTCCATTACACACTCAGTCTATTTATGGGTGTTTGGAAATAACCTGCTATCTGCTACATGTAGCTTGAAATGCAAAAGATGAAGCCAAAATCAGATAAATCTCAGAGAAATTGCATTTGTTTCACATGTCACGTTCAGTGTATGTCACCTGTATGTACACTGAAAAAAGAAAAATGCTGGGACAACTTAGCTATATTACGTCGATTGGTAATGCATGATTGAATTATTAAATAATAAGTCAACCAGATCAACCCAACACAAAGCATAATATGTGAAGCTTAACTTGGGTGCTTTAAAAATACCAAGTTAAGGGACCAGGCTCTAATTTCAAGTTGACAGAAACCCAAAAAAATACACCAACCTCACTAAAGCATTACCTCAGCTACAACTTAAATACTCCTTGCACAGTGTAACTTAAGAGTCACCAAAATTTGGATCCATGACAGAATTTTGTTCGAGTCACCACTAAACACAGGCTGAATGAAGAAAAGTGCAGAAAGCCTGGTTTCTAGCATTTAAAAACAAATTTAGGCATTTGTGAGTTTTTTCATGACTTCTCCAGTACTTCCTGTCCTCCACTACATCTCAAAGGTAACCGTTGCCCTTTCTCCCTCACTATGTGACAGCTAGATACTCAATACTCACAGTAAATGATGATACTGGCTGTTCTGTTATGAATGAAACAAATATAACTTGCAGTTGGACATGAAGTTGCTCACAACAGCTAAATTCTGCTTCTACTGTGACGGCCACAGGGCTAACCTTGTTTTCTTTGTTGCCTTTGTCTATCTCTTCCGGGTAACTGGTGGATGGAGCAGACCCAATTTGGGATGTAACATACCTGAGCAGCCCTGCCAGACCTTCGTGGGGGCTCTTTTTCTGCTCCTCTCTTGCACTCACTCGTACACTTACCCTGCATATACACTGATCTGCTGACAACCACTCCTACTAATCTTTGGTTTCTTTGCTTTATTTAATTAAGCTATTTAATAGCATCCTAAAACGACGTGTGTGCTCTCTCTTTTTGAACCAGGGTAGTATAAAAATCCCAAGATGCGATCTTTCCATTTTAAATAATTTGCTTTAAAAATGTTTTTTACATTTTCATCGCAGGATGTTGTGTTTACACAGTAGTATAAGTGTAGACTACAGTGTAGACTACAGTGTATAGACTGCAGTGTATAGACTTTTGTTGCCATGATGCCAGGTCTCTCTTGGAAATGAAATTTTTAATCTCAATGAGATTATTTACCTAGATAAATAAAGGACTAATAAAAAGTATAAGTAGCTGTATTTAAGTAGATGATGCGAGTACTTCCTCCATCACAGTGCTTATGCTGGCATCTGTTGGCACTGAAGATTACAAGTCTGACACTGAAAAACAATGTGAGGGTGTGGTGTTAGAAGTGAGCTATGAGCTCTGTGGTCTCTTCTTCATCTCATCTACATTTGCTGCACCTACCATAACACACCCGAGTCCCCAGACTGCAAGTCGATTAGCTGTGGGTCACTTATGTGTCAGGTGCTTATGAGGAATAAATGTGTATGAATTAACAGTCCAGGGTCTGTTTTTCTGCTGCACCCAGTTCAATCTTTTTTAATGTTTCCCTTTTAAAATGATTCAAATGGAAGCTGAAACATCTGTGTTATTTATTTTCAGGCTCTTCGACTCCTAAATCTTTATTCATTTAGTTTAGCTCTGATCATCAGCACCGACCAGCTCAAACATGCTTCAGCTTACATACAGATGTAAACAAGTCAGTGAGCTACCATCTCACTGTGTCTCCCTCACTTCTCCCTGTAAGTATGAAGGGCAGGCTTGTGTGTCATAACAGGGAGCTCACTATATTTAAGAGTTTTTCTAACCCACACCCTTCCTTGCTTTGCTTCTTCTCTTCCCTCTCGTCTCCCTCTTTCCCCTTAGACTGAACTCTCTTTTTCCTCAGAGACGGCCTTTGGTCACTTTGTTTATCCATCTTTTTGACACCCCCCTACCCACCACCCCCTGTCCCCTCTAATTCTCTTCTCCAAGGCCAAGACATGAAATAATAATCTTACTCTTCACTGTAGCTCTAACTACACGTAGTGCACACAGTTGTCCAAGTTTTTCACTGGCCTTTGACAGCTTATGAATAAAGTTTATGTAAGTGCATTAACTTTAGTGCTCCAGAGCAAAAATAGATGAATAAATAAAAAAGCATAAGTTGGAGAGGTAGATGGAAGGATTTATATTTGTACTAGCATGTCGATAAGGTTGTGGGTTTTAATCCAGGCCAGGAGTTTGAATGTTCTCCTTGTGTCTGTGGGGGTTCTCTCCGGGTACTCCAGCTTTCTCCCACAGTTCAACATGCACGCCAGGCTTTAAGAGTAACTGATTATTCCAAATTGGCTAAAAAGGTGAAAGTGAGCATGAATAGCTGCCTGTCCATTGTGTTAGCCCTGCAACAGAGTGGCTGTACCCCACCTCTCACCCTATAACAGTGATACACTACAGCTCCAAGTGGAAAAGGATGGATGGATGCTTTAAAAGTTATGGTTTTAATACCATTACAATTCCAGCATTTTCCCCAGTTACAGTTTGTATACTAAATCAACCACCTAACTAACTGGTTAGTTTAATATTTAAAATCTGAACTTCAAACTTTTCTTTGAATGCACAGCTTCCCCCCTATAATTCTTTACGTGAATCTATAAGAGAAAAAAATCAGACTGGGATCTGCAACATTTCATGGGGATTTTGTTAGCAATGCCTTGTCCCAAGGGACTCTGAACGAGAGGATTAGCATTATCTGTTTGTAGTTTTAATGTTATCCATTAAAGTGTTTGTTCTTTTTCAGCTTGATTCAGTTGATTTATTTGCTAAAATATTTGAGCATGCCACTTTTTTTTGTGGTTGTATTATTTAATTGAACAAAATTCAGTTAAGTGAGCAAAGTTTTGTTGTCTGTTTTTGTCATCAGTGTTTAAAATGTTCTTTGTCGTGTCTTCCAGAGCTTTGTCAGTGTTTCAACATAGATGTAAAGCACCCGCGCATATTCACCGGTCCAGAGGACGCGCTGTTCGGTTTCTCCGTCTTGCAGCATGAAGCAGATGGAGAGAAATCGTAAGTCTGTGAGGGAGACAGTCAGATATAATCTAATGGAACCACACAGTCATAAATAAACTGTCATAACATGTACACAAAGCGGGCGATGGATGACATTTTGATGATGAATGAATTACTCCGTAAAGGATGCTGGTTGGTGCTCCCTGGGACGGGCCGCCCAACAACAGGAAAGGAGATGTTTACAAATGCAACGTGGGACGGGAGAAGAACTCAAGCTGCAATAAAGTGAATCTAGGTGAGAGAAACTATGAGTTGAAGAAAATATGCAGGAAAAAAAATCCTCAATTCATGTTTGGATCTGTTACTTCAATGCTAAGATGTTTGTCTCGCTCAGGTGAGACGGCTCTCCAGAACGTTTCAAAAAATCTGAGGAATTCTCACTTGGGAATGACCCTCACACCAACTTCACCTGATGGCTTCCTGGTATGTGGCATCAACACTGGAAAACAGGGCTTTTTATTTCTCCTACATGGGCAGTGGGTTGATGGGTGGGAGCCTGAGGGGATGTGGTCAGACCAAGTCGAGTTTGTTCAACAGAATTCTGATGAATTCGCTCCCTTCGAGTGTTTTTAGTTGAATTTAGATTTGACCACAAGCGGTTCACTGATCCTCCTCTTTCTTTTCTTTAATTTTGGACATGCATTTGCACATTTACATAGTCTGGGGAGGTGTTTTAAACCCATTTCCAAACAAGTGGAAAACATTCAAGACAGTTACCAATCTTCCCAGGAGTGCAAGTCACAGAAAATTCACTTCAAAGTCAAACTCCACAATGCTCAGAGAAACTGCAAAAAAACCAAGAGCCACATCTCAGACAGTACAGGCCTCAATCAGGGTGTTACACAGTAAAGTAGCTAACCACAAGACTTCTAGAGTAATGTCTATTTAACAGATGAGATCAAAGTGGAACTGTTTGGTCAGAAGTCTCAGCACCATGTTTGGTGAAAACCAAGCACAGCATATCAGCGCAAACACCTCATACATACTGTCAAGCACAGTGGTGGAGAGGTCATCATTTGATCTTGTTTTGGAGCCACTGGTCAATAGTCAATAGCTGCAGTATGTCAGTGTGCTGGTTGTCAATGTAGGTTGTATTTAAATAGTTTTTCGAACCTCATGAGGACCACATAATTTGTTTTATGTCCTGATGGGTAAAACCTTAGAATTTAAGGAGGGTGTATTTTCTTTTTACCATGACTCTAATCAATGTGAGAACTTACAGAGCTTGTAGTTACTGACACAATAACCAGACATGAATGATTAAAGTCAAGCTGATGAAGTCAAGTGCAAAGCAACGTTTATGGACAGAATCTAACTCGAGTTTAGGTTTAAGACTTTAGCTTTTAGACAAACTTCTTGAAATCTTACTCACTCATTTATCCTAATTTCTGCACTTCTGAGGCTTCTGGCTTGCAGACCCACACACTTATTGCTTTAGCGAGGACACAGCAGTTTGTGTTACATGCCTTCTTTGTGTAACTCTGTGTGTATGTTGGGCAAGTGTGCTTGCGTGTTTTGGTATCTGCCAGGTTTTTTACTGCTTCTTCGGGCGTGGAGTCGTGTACAGTTCAAAAAACACTAGCCAGCTTAGGCGGGTTTTTTGTGTGCGCGTGTGCACAGGCATGTGTGCGGGCATGTGTGTGTGTGTGTTTATCTTAACCCCAGTGGTCAGGTCTATAACAGGATCGGAATGCGTCTCCGGCCCTTTGTTAATGACAGACCTACCAAAAGCCATAGCACCTCTTTCGCTTTTCTCCAGCTTCTCCCTCCATCGTTTCCTCCCATCCCTCTCTCTCCATCCTTTCTTCTCTGCCTGTCTGTGTGCCTGAGGAGAAACCCTTCCATAATGACAGGGCAAGAAAAACCAGGATGTTTCTCTTTCTCTCATTCTACCCCCACTTCACCCCACTTTCAGTCTCCTTCTTTTGTCTTTCTGCTAGCTTCTTTTTTATCTCTTGTCTCTGCACTCGCCCCTGTTCTTTCCTCTTGGTATGGAAAGCCAAATAAACGGCGCGCTTTGAAGGCAGAAATATTTTTTATTGGGTGCCCCCTCCCCAACCTCCTTACTCACCCTCCCTACATTTAGCACAATCAAGCTCATACTGGTCTTGTGCTCCAGCTCTGTGAAACCGCTCATGACAACTGTGACTGCCAGCATGTCGACAATAGTCTCCCTCCTTCTCCTGTCCTCCAAACCACACTATTGTAGTTTTTCCATGACTTATTCCCTCTTGTGACTTGTTTTCTTTTTGTTCCCTATCTGCCCTGATTTAATTGTTTTCGTTTTGTGCGTTTCTGTGTGTGTTTGTGGGTATGTTTGTGTGCGCATTTCCATGTTTTAAACTCTTTGATGCACATCTTGTGCACGAAAAACAAACAGTGAAAAAGAATAAACTCTGTTCAAATTAATTACAGCTACTTGTGAAATTCACCTGTAAAACACATGCTTGTGTGTGTGTGTGTTTGCGCGCGCGTGTGCATCTGTTTTGCAGGCATGTGCTCCACTGTGGTCACAAGAGTGTGGTACATCTAAGTTCAGCACTGGCATCTGTGCCTCAGTCAGCGATGACCTAGAACCAAGAGAGACTATCGCTCCAACAGCACAAAGTAACTATACTTACACAAACACACACACACAAACACAAAAAACCCACAAAGTGCGGCAAAGAAACATGTTGCAGGCCTGCTTCAATCAACCAAACATTTCTAAACGTCCATATCTGGCAGGGTGCCCGACGTACATGGACATCGTGATCGTGCTGGATGGCTCCAACAGCATCTACCCCTGGTACGAGGTCCAAAATTTCCTCAGTAACATCCTCAGCAAGTTCCACATCAGCTCAGACCAGATGCAGGTAAAACTCCAATTCAGTGTGTATTTGCACAGCCGATAAATATTATTTACACTAGTAATGGAAACTTGTGGGTTTAAATTTGAGTGAGTCTCCCACTTAAATATCTGGAACCCGTTAGCTGCAGCCCAGAGCAGTAAGACAAGCTAGTCCCTTGAATGAAAACATGCTGACAGGGACGTATTAGGAACCAGTTTGGCAAATATGTCCAGAAGAATAGTTGGAGTAATGTAAAGGGACATGAGCCCAGCTCACTTGAGGTTGAAGGGGAATGGGAGCTGGGGGTTTTGGTGATGGTGTGTGTGTGTGTGTGTGTGTGTCTGCGTGAGTTGGGGAGGGGAAGTGAGGTTTCTAGTGACATTATTCAAAGCAAAGCAACTAGAAGAGTGAAAGGAGAACTGAGTTATGAAAAGGGGAGGTGGGGGGTAAGGGGTAGCAGGCAATGTGAGGTGAAGAGGAAATACCTCTGGTTTTTGAATGAATTCAGAAATCCCCCAAGTGCACTGTTTGCTTTAAGAACAGGACTGGTACTTAAGGAGATAGTTCAACCCAGAAACAAAAGTCTCAGATGTTGCTTTCCACAATTATGTGCCGGCACAACCAATAACATGTGGCATTGTTGAAATGCTTGTGTGTTTCTGTACGTGTGTGTTTGCCCTCGTGTGTGCATATTTAGGTTGGTATTCTGCAGTATGGTGAGGTAGCTGTTCACGAGTGGTCTCTGAAGGACTACCAGACCACACAGGAGGTAGTGGAGGCCGCCAAGAACATCAGCCGACAGGAGGGACGGGAGACGCGCACGGCACATGCTATTGAAAAAGCCTGGTAGGCATGTCAGTTTACTAGTTAGGGATGATTTTTCTCATTCTAAAGCATGCTGTAGATTTGGCAGGTTAACTGGAATCTATGTGACGCTTTGGTTTTTGTTTGTAACAATAGTTGGTGCTTATAAATAGATCACTGTATAATTTTCAGTTATAATGGCAATCAGATCTGTTTTCTTCTTCTCTAATTTCCTTTCTAACAATATGCTCCATGTTTAATTTATGGAAAACTATTAGATTTCTCATAATGTATGACCTGTTTCTGTTCAAAATTAGCGGTAGTGGCAGCACACCACAGAAGTATCTTTCAGCCAATAGTTTTAGTTCGGACAGGTTTACTTCTTGAGTTCATTCTCACTAATTTCAGGCAGCTGTTGTAAGCAAAAAAGCTGAAACAAACCACTCTACACTCCCTATACATAAACGGTTAGTGCCCAACAACAATTTCAGAAGTAGCTGGTTTCCAGATGGTATTGCATCTCCAACATAACTAGCTGATATGCAGTTCCAAACCTCGACGGAGGCTCCACTCAGTGTCCAGGGGTGTCCAACTCCAGGCCTCAAGGGCAGGTTTTAGATGAGTCCTTCATCCATCACAGCTGATTTAAATGGCTAAATAACCTCCTCAACATGTCTTGAAGTTCTCCAGAGGCCTGGTAATGAAATAATCATTTAATTCAGGTGTGTTGACCCAGGGTGAGATCTAAATCCTGCAGGACACCGGCCCTCGAGGCCTGGAGTTGGACACCCCCGACCTACATATATACTAATGTTCAGATGAACCAAAAATTTCAACTATGAATGCATCACTTCATCAAAACTGTTTCCTCTAATTTTCAGTCCGTTTCTTCTGTAGTCTGGCATACCTCAGTCTATTCACCCTGTTTGACTTGCTTAATAATGGCTTCTCAACAGCCACTGAGACCATTTCTGATGAGGATTCAGTGAACAGTAGATGAATCAACTGATGATCCAGATGCATTTCTCAGGTTCTGTGTCAGGTCTTTTTAGACACCATTCATCTGCTCTAGAAAGTTTTTTGGGCCTGTCACTTTTGCTTTTGTCCTCAATATTTTTAAGGACACAGTGCACACCTTGCTAAGAAATGCAATCACCTTTGTTTTTTTTGGCACAGGCTGATAATTACAACAATAACAAAGCAATTTAAAATTATTTCTTTGCTCGTTTGAAGGGTAAAAATCATAAGTCAGTGTTAAGCAATTTAACAAAAAAAAATCCTCTGAAAATGATCAGGTACAAGGACTGAAAATGACTCAAAGATCAACCAGTGAAAAACATTGAAAGACCTTTGCTTAAGACCACTTCAAAATTAAAATAAAAAATATATAAGAAAATAAGTGGTGGTTCAGTACAGTGTGCAAGATCAAATCCAGATAAAATGCATAAGGGACCTTTGAGGCAGTCTTCTATAACTTCCTCATGGCTGCACTGTCACCCAGTTCCTCCACACATCCATCACTTTGTAGAGGTATGTTGGGGGGCTTTAACGCTGGTAACCCAAGTGTAAAGAAGTTGGCAGGTCAGTGAAAAATCTTTCTTTTCAAAACAAAATTCCTCCTTTATTAAAGTCATACCCACATAGAGCACCACACCCAGACCTGATGTGTGGCCGTGACTGTTATTTTGGTATGTGTGTCTCTGAGCACGCACACACATTCACACAGGTAATTGGAGGGTTCCTGTTTTCTGGTACATTTAAAGGTAAAAGTTGGACATGTAAAAGGTAGTGGAAAAGCAGTCCCTGGAAACCAGTATAAGGTCTTAAAGCTTTTTACTTTAAAACGCCAGCGATGGGAAATCCAGTTTTTGCTTTCACTGTAACTGTCATCTTCGCTCCCTGCCCAATGTGATGGTTGGGCTAAGTTATATGCTGTATATGTGTGTCTAAGTGTAAACGAGTAAAATATAGGCATTAACTTGACATTAAGAGGCGGGACTATCAAAAGATAACTTCTAAACTAACTCTCATAAACATATCTACTTCCACTCTCACATACTCATGCACAGATGGACAGATAGCAGCCCTGGCACTGGCAGGAAAGTGACGGGGTAAGAAAAACAACGAGATTAGCTGAGCTGGGCAAGCCGGCTGCTGGCTCAGCACAGCTGCAGGTGTGGCATGACCTGACCCAGACTGGTCAGCCAAGTAGTTCTGCTACAGCTGTAAAAATACACACAGAGACACGTACAGTATGCACGTGCACACGTACACACACATATTGAGGACTCATGCATAACTTGTTAAATTCATGGACGATGCCTTTTAACTATTCTTTCAAGACTTGACAGTTACAGCATTTGTTCCCTGACCTCCTGACCCCAACGTTAACCTTCTTCACTGTGTGTTTAACTTTCATCCTTTACCCCAACCATCTCCTTATGAGAAACCTAACCCTAAAATGAAGCACTTAGCTAAAATAGCTCCGGAAAGAACAACAGAAGATTTCGAGCTCCTGGGAGAGCGGTCGGTGCAGATTTAAACTGATCTTACACTTTATTCACACTAATGCCATAAAAATCAGGAATTTCAATTTGACTTGAAGTTGACTGCTCTGAGGCTTGGCATATTTGAGAGCTAACTATTTGAGGAGGAGAACTATTTGGGACTACTGGAAAGAAGGAATGGTGGTTTATTCAAATGATTAACATTTCACACCTAATTTGGTAGAAATAATCCGACCAGATCTACTGTGCGTAACTTGATAAGCATGCTATAAAAGTACAGCTGTGGGAAAATGCACAAAGAAACCCCCCCAAAATAAAGAGATTCTGTGAGCTAAGCTAGCTAGTGTTAGTGAAAACTAATCACAGAGAAGGACTTATTGGTGGCCAAATTCAAGGCAAACGTAGGACAGAAATGCTTCAGTAAGTCCTCCAACTAAAAAATCATATCAGCTATCATCTGCTATCATGTGACACAACCCATGAAACAACACATAGCAGTGTTTCCACAAAACACAGTCTGCATTAGGAGCAAAATGATGGGTAGTATCTCACCTACTTTTACATTATCTGTTAGTTTGTGGAACCCCTGCTTTCAATCGTTGACTTATTTTTTTTTCCAGAAAAGTTGGGTTGCTGACAACAGAATGCAATCATTTGTAAATCTCAAAAATCTACATTTTATTGACAAGAGAACATAGAAAAGGTATCAAATATTCAAACTGAGAAAATATATTTAATTTGAGGAAAAACGAGGCCAGCTCTGTGCCTGAACTCTTACTTTGAAGTCTTGCTGTCTAGTAGCTGCAGTATGGAGTTTATCATTGTCTTGCTGAAATATGCGAAGCCTTCCCTCAAAAAAAAAGAAAAAGAAAGAAAGAAACCGTTATATAGGTAAAGGCTTTATTCAAATGCAGCTGAGAATAGGAGAGTCTTCAACCTGGATTTAAATAAACTGAGTGTTTCAGCTGATCTGAGGCTTTCTGGGAGTTTGTTCCAGATATATGGAGAATAAAAGCTGAATGCAGCTTCTCCATGTCTGGTTCTGACTCTGGGAACTGATAAAAAACAGGGTCCAGATGACCTGAGGGATCTGGAAGGTTCATACTGGGTCAGGAGGTCACTGATGTATTTTGGTCCTAAACCATTCAGAGCTTTATAGACCAGCATCAGAACTTTAAAGTCTATCCCCTGACAGACAGGCAGCCAGTGTAAAGACCTCAGAGCTGGACTGATGTGGTCCACTTTTTTGGTCTTAGTGAGGACTCGAGCAGCAGAGTTCTGAATGAGCTGTAGTTGCTAAAGATGAATGCATGGACTAGTTTTTCCAGGTCCTGTTGAGACATCAGATCTTATTTCCTTGAAATATTCTTGAGATGATAGTAAGCTGACTTTGTTATTGTCTTAATGTGTTTTTCTAAGCTTAGGTTTTTCTAAGTTTAAGTTTAGTTCTGCGTCCATCACTATAGCTTTAAGCACTGATGTTATCTTTTCAGATGTGCAAGCTGCCAATGCAATAGATACTCATCCAACCCAATACCATCAGAGATGACATGTTTGATGGACCCTCTCAACGTCAGATTTCACATTTGGATTTGTCTGATCACAGAACAGACAGAATCTTTTAATGCAGTGCTGCCTGAGGGATCACAGGGGTCCTGTTCTGATTTTCAGCCTTGTCCCTTGCACACAGAGATTTCTTCAGATTCTGGAGACACTGCACTCTCATAGAGTAACAACTTATCAATAAATAGACCCATCCCAAAGCATTCTCTGCTTTATTATCTGTTGGACTCTAAATAGGAGAATGAATCACCAAATGAACATCATGTTATGTTAAAAAAGAACTGAAACTGGGAATTGAGGTCATAAACTTCTTATAAAAACTTTAGTGTTGTATTAAATTCATTGAGGAGTAGGGTAGTTTATTCATAGAGTTCAACACAGTCTTACTTCTTTTTGCAGCCAGGAGTCACTCAGCCTCACTCTGTGTTTCAGCTGTGACTGTCTGGAAGTTTCACCCATTGATTGCTTTGGTTTTTACTCTCGATTTTTAGGCACAAAAATGACAACATTTGCAGATTCCGTCCCATATCACAATAATGACACCACCAAACATTATGCACGTGCTTCTTCACTCTGCTAGAAGAACTTTAACTTTAAGCTCACAATAACAGTTCGCATGAGGAACATTTTTTGTCTGTGGGAGGAAAGTCAAGGACTTGACCTGAATCTGACTGCCACTTGTGTAGTCTAGTTACACACTTTACCTAAAACTTGATTGTTTTGTATCTCCTTGCATAATGAAATGAGACTAGTACCAGACTAGAGTACAATTTGATTGCAGACTAGATGACTGCTTCATTAACATGAAGTAACCCATCTAGAATTGGAATTGCCACTAATTTTTTTTTATCGCTCCACCCGTCTGAGACGCACACCATTCCCTTCTACACACACACGCAGAAAAACAACTGAAGTACACACACACAAACCGCTGTGCTGTGTCATTACCACACTGCTATGACTCCATAAAATGGCTAGTAAATACAGCCAGGCCTCCCAATTAGCTCCCATCACTTTCTCTGCTCTTTCATCTCCCTGTCCTTCTTTCTCATCTGTTTCTTGCTTTTCCTTTTATTTTTCCTTTGTTTCTTAACTGTTTTTGTGTCTCTTGTATCCTCATTTTTCCCAATCTTGTCTCCACCACTGCCCCCCCACTCTTCTGTCGTTCTTTTCAATCTTTCCCATCAAATTTGTTCTGCTGTATAATTCACTAAATTTCAACGATAAGCACAACGAAGTGGGTTTTGCACTCATAATGTTTGATGTAATTTTACTGTCTTTATTCTTCTTGTTCTTATAATGAAAACTTATAGTTTGCATTATTGTCATTATTCTCCATTCGTGTGTTTGTAGTTTTTCTGTTTGTTGCTTTTTTTCCTCATCTTAATGTGACTTTTCTCGTTCATTTGTTCCTTTTCTTTTAACTCCTCTCCTTTCTTTCTCCTCTCCTACTCTGCACCCTATGTAATTTGCAGACTGCATAGGGGAAACTGTTGTTTTTAACTCAGAGTTTCTTGCGGCTGACCACAACGTTATATTTAGTCAAGGGCTGGAGTTAGGCCTGAAAATGACTGAGTTCACTAGCAGTGACTTCTCTGCCTCATTCACTCTGTGTGTGTGTGTGTGTGTGTGTGTGTGTGTGTGTGTGTGTGTGTGTTAGTCTGAGGCTTACCAACCCTATTCAGCGCTTGAATCTGCTCCCACTGAGAACAGGTTTCCTCCAGACAAACGGGGTGCAGCTCGGGTCTGTTTGTGTGTTTGTCAAGTTTTCGTCTGTGTGTCATAGCACAGCTGTACTGGAATGCACAAATGTGGTTCTTGTGTGCAGTGACACATCCACACTGCACGCAGTGACCGGTTGGAGTCAACTGGCAGCTGATGCATGTGTGTCAAGTTGGACTAATAAAGTTGTGGAAAGGTCCAGCTGTGACTTGGGCCACTTATATCGCGCTCGATGAAAGCAACTCAAACTCAGTGTTTTTACTAGCTTTTCTTTTTCTCAGAGAAATGCTTAATGTCGTGTGTTATCTTACAGAGGATGTTTATTTAAATTACTTGATACTCACTGGTAGCCTCCCTTTCCATTTCCTAGCTACACTTTGACTCCGTTTTTCTTTCGTTCTCCGCGTCTCAGATCTGATTCTGTTTCACAAGATCTGTAAGACCAACTGACGTATATTTTTTTAAGCTTTATATGTCTCTATCTCGTTCTTTGTAGCACAGAGGCTTTCAGTCCTGAGCGTGGAGCGAGGGAGGGTGCCACCAAGGTGATGATCGTAGTCACAGATGGAGAGTCCCACGATTTCGATGAACTAAAAGGTGCTCTGGAGCAGTGCGAAGAAAGAAACATCACCCGATATGCCATCGCTGTGAGTGCATGTTGTCCAATATCAGCAGAACGATAATCTTTGGGGGTTTATTTGACAATTTGTGCGTTTTGTGGTGCTCAAATTGTTGATTCAGAAATTCTTTCTACAATACTAATAAAAAGACAACTAATCGACGCCATATGCAGGATGCGTAGCGCATCCCTGGCATTCCTCACACATTGTGTGAAAGTGGTATAGCAAATACATACACCCCGAATGAACCAGACAATATCAACACCACCCCACCCCAAAATAACTCCAAATTACAAAATGACCCACTTGGGTCTACTAAAATAGCCAACTGGGAACAAAAACTCTTCCTTTCCAGCCCCACCCGACCCCCTCAACACACAGAAAAACACCGAGTGGTGGCGTGGTTTGTTTTTGAGAGCCAGACAGACTCTAGTTGGCAGGATTGGTTGCAGACCCCTCCCTACCCCACAAGAGAAGCAAACGAACCTAAAGGCTCCGCTGGAACCGCAGAAGAGGAGAACATGAGCCAAGCATGCAGGAAGAGTGGCAAAGGGCCACTTTGGAAACAGATGTAGATTAGAGAAGATCAGATAAACTGATCACTGACTGGAGAAGCTTATTTACAGTACGAGTCAGTTACAATAACTTGTTCTGTTGAAACAACGAGTAAGCCCGACCTCTGGAACAATAAATCCTGCAGTTTAATCAAGCCATCATCAGTGAATATTCTCCCATTTCTCCTGAATCTGCTTCTTTTAATGTTTCGCTACAGGAAAACATCTAAGGAACTAATTTCACTCTGTTCATTAAGCAGTGGTGGGCCAAGATAGAAATGTTCTTCTAGCAGCTTTTAGTGGTATCAGAGCATGCAGATAAGTCTGTAGTGTTTCTGTGATTGTTAAAGGAAAATGTTAAATATTCTTTATAATAGTTTGAGCTATAATCACAGAAATCTGTTACTTTGAGATAATTATTATTTTCTTAACATGATAAGAAGCTGGAACTTCCACTTTATTTTACAACAAAATACTTTTTGTTCAACATTTTTTGATCCATGTTTTTCCTCTTATCCACACTCAGCCTGCATTGGCTCTTTGGCCCACCAAGGTGATTCGTTACTCAGCATAAGAAGCCCTGGTTTGGTCTGTTAGGACACCAGCAGTTCCCAGTTAGGACTAAATTCAAAGCACAACTGATTCTGGTGATACTGATGAATCTTGAAAGTTGTTTGGATTCATCATCCACAAAGCAAATGATGAATTATTTTCATTCAATAGTTTTGAATGAAAATAATTAATCAGCCAAACTAGTGGGCAAACTAACGCCACTCTGAAAATCCAGTAGCAGCTATTACAGCCACTGTTTCTCAGGATAACAGTTTTAATATAGACCATTTACCACACTTAAGGAAAGTGTGTGAATCATAGAGAAAAATGTCTCTTAAAAAAGTACAAAAGGTTTGAGAAGTACAGATGAAATTTTATTGTGTCTATGATACCAGAAACTCTTTGGCTCCAGAAATCACCTGGAGAAAGTAATAAACTATGCTGCAGAAACAAAACACTTTGTGAACCACAGTTTCATGGAGGGAATCAAACAGGTAGTGACAGATATTTAAGGTGCTGCTAGAGCAGACATTTTATACACAGTCACAGACTTAAATATTGAAAGAAACAAACAAAAAATGGCTGAAGCAAACGACAGTGAATGAGGTGGGTTTGGTGGTTTGAATGTTTGCCCAAAAAAGTCAAAGTGATGAGAGGTAATTATTGCTTATAACAGCAGCCATGTTTTCATGTTGCTCTCTGTGCTGCAGTCTGTGTGTGCGCGCAGTGAAAATGGCTCGCCAAGGGGGTCGGAGCTCTCAAAACAAGAGCAAAAAAAGCGCCCGGTCACTGAAAACTGTGTTTTATACATCAGTGCAGCCCAGAGGCTAAAGCATTTAGGCAGCACCGTATGTATGGAAGCTTGTAAAGTGGAAACAAACCAATCAGAAGAGTTACATTTACTTTACAGTTCGTCTTTCCCTGTTGCCCTTTTATGCCCTACTGCGAGAGCTCGCAGTATTTGGCAGTCTGCGTGGAATTTCTCAACTTCTACAAGTTCATAATGTACTTATTTATACGTAGGCTCGCCTTATGTTACACACTGCACCCCTGCCCTTTGAAAACAGAGGATTTCCTTAGTTTGCTTGGCAGCTAAAGTCACAGGGGGAGATCTTGGGTTTGGTTTCTCTTATGGAATTTTCTCATTTGTACTTCAGGCGTTAAGCCATAAGCCTTTGCCGCTGCAGTATGCCTGTGCTCCTCATTTACAAATCTCTGGTGGCTGCCTTTTTCTTCCATCTTATGCTTTCCACTCGATTCGTTGACTTTGGTATCACTTAATTATTGGTAAATGACACAGAAACTGGCACATCTCCAAACTCAGTCGATTTTAATGATAGTCACAGCAGAAACATGGATGAGCAATTGCTCTGATACCTGCTTGTATACATCAGAATTTCATCTGTGGTCTTTCATCAATATTTTGTTGAGCTTGTGTTATGTGCTCATTCATTTCCCATGTGGTCTTTTACCTTTCTGACTTTCTTCAGGTCCTGGGTCATTACATCCGGAGACAGCAAGACCCTGAAACTTTCATTAATGAGATCAAGTCCATCGCCAGCGACCCTGACGACAAATATTTTTTCAATGTTACGGACGAACCTGCGCTCAACGACATTGTTGATGCACTGGGAGATCGCATCTTCACTCTGGAAGGTGACAGTGCCTTTCAATCCACATGGTTTTTCAGCAGTTTACCTGCTGTGTTGTGCTGCATAAAATGTGCTATCTGTTGCTCACGAGCAAGAAAGACTGAATGGTTGCATAGTGCTGTGAAAAAGTCTTGAGTCCTCAGTGAGAGTGAGGACTTTCTTTTACATTTTCTTGTACATTTTTAAAGTGGTCTTGAGCAATAGTTCTTCAGGGTTTTCAAAGATCTCTCAAAGTTTTTCTTTGGACATTGGCTGCTCTTTTTACTAATTTTCAGTTCGGCCCACGCACCTGAGGAAAGTTGTTTTGTTTGTGAAGCCAGTTAATAATGACATATGAATCATTCAAGCATAAAAAAGGTACCTGACTCAATGGATGAACCAGTGTTGTGTCTACACATAACAGACAAATACATAAAAATGTTTCCCCATTTCTTTGAATATACAGAAAAAAATGTGCAGTGAGTTCTTAAAAGTTTTTAGGAAACTGGACATGTGTAGAGCAAAAGAAGCAGTGCAGGGGAACAGTTTCTGAAAGTCCAGACACAGGACAGGAGAGATCCACCTGATCCACTGAAGCCTCACCAGAAATCAGAAAGTTTTTCATCCAAATTGTCATCTATGTGTACAAAGCAGACCAGGTGACAATGAGCCTCTATAAAATACAATGGAGGCCTTGAACTCCAACATTAGTGAAGCACTGTGGGATCAATGTGCCAGAGAATAGAACAAAAGGCAGAAACATCCAAAGAAGAGCTCCGAATGTCCTTCAAGAAGCCTGGAGAACTATTCCTGAAGACTGCTTACAGAAAACTTGCCTATGAGAGTTCAGACTGTGTTAAAGAATAAATGTGGTGAAATTAAAGAAATGATAGCTGTCTATCTGTCTAATTGGCAAAGAAAACTACATAAGGAAAGAAATGTGTGGGGAGGATATACATGGGAGAACAAAGCAGTGAAAACTGAAAAAGGGCTTGTTCAGCATGTTCAGCTGTCATAGTATTTGTGGAAAGATGATAGGAAGGACGATGAAAAGCGATGCCACCCTTCAATGTTCAGGGAAATCTGAGCGGAAGAGACAGGAGAAAAGGAAATGTCTGCCACCTCCAGTGTCTGTCTTCAGTATGAGTGAGGATGCCAACGATGAGAAAGAGAGAGGAAAGGGAAGGGAGGAGATGGGCAAAGGAGCACGGAATGACTTGTTTTCCTCCTTTAGGCACGCTGGGTTACAACGAGAGCTCATTCCACATGGAGATGTCTCAGATCGGCTTCTCCACGCACACTCTAGATGTAAGTCCAACTTTATTTAATTCTTTGTGAGCCAACAATTAGTTGAGTTTTATCTCTGCACATCATTCATTCCCTGCTCCATTCTTCAGGATGGCATTTTGTTTGGCATGGTGGGGGCCTATGACTGGGATGGGGGTGTGTTGAAAGAAGGGACCAATGGGCGAATTGTGCCATCCAGAGAGGCCTTTGAAAGCGAGTTTCCTCTGGAGCTCAAAAATCATGCTGCTTATTTAGGTAACCACACATCATACCACCAAACATGACACTGAATGCTTTATTTTTTGCACTTACTGTGTGTGGTATTGAATAAAAAATAGAAAAAATTAAAAAAAAAAACTATCTTCATTGATGAAACAATAATGTAATGGCTCACCATTACCCTGGTATTACAAACGCAGATGACCATATTAAACTATACTGGAGAGTGTGAGTCGTCCCCACTCTCCTAAAAAGAATGGCAAATATTGGTTTATAAAATATCAAATAACAACTTTTTTCAAACAAAGTAAACATTCCTGGTCTTTCCGTTTAATATAAGATATAAAATTATTGCCAAAGTGAGAAGCTTGGACCTTTTTATGGCCTTCCTGTAGCTGATAATTCAGGTCACACTCTCAACTGCATGAAGTGAATGGAAATGGAGGACACATGACTGCAGAAATGTAGCCGTTTACCTAATATGAATATTTTATTCATATTGATTTTACTGGCATTGCAATGGATCGAAAACACGTTACAGCATTAATGTGACTCTTTAAGAGCCTTAGATTAGGTTTTCAGTGCTGAATGAGGTGTGTTCATATGCGTTTCCAGGTTACACGGTGACCTCTGTGATAATTGGTGACTGGAAGAGGGTGTATGTAGCTGGAGCTCCTCGATTCAAACACAAAGGCAAAGTCATTCTGTTTGAACTCAGCGATGAAGGCGATGTCAACATTGTGCAGGCGCTTAATGGAGAGCAGGTAAAACCCTTGTTTGAGTCTCCCTTCAGTTTGTTTTTGCTTTTAATATTTCAGCAGCAAACAGTAGGAGTCCGATTTCTCTGAATTAAAGCAAGCGCTCCCCCTGCTGGCGGTAAGATGAAATAACATGTATCTGTGTTTAGATTGGCTCGTATTTCGGCAGTGAAGTGTGTGGGCTAGACATCGACCAGGATGGCATCACTGATGTCCTTCTGGTTGCTGCTCCAATGTACCTTGGGTCAGGAAACAAGGAGGCTGGACGAGTCTACATCTACACTCTCAATGGAGTAAGACCTTCATATCAGTTATTATGAAAACATTCCTGTCATATACAACAATGAGTGATATCCCTGTTTTACTCCTACAGTGTCTCCTGTTACCATCCACTCATCTTTCTTTGTTTCCTCCTCTTTGTGTCTCGCAGGAGGACATTTTTGTATCCAATGGAACGCTGAAGTCAAACAATAAGTCCCAGGATGCCAGGTTTGGCTATGCACTGGCACCCACTCCAGATCTAAACCACGATGGCTTCACGGATCTGCTGGTGGGAGCCCCACTGGAGGATGAACACCGGGGGGCCATCTATGTTTATCACGGAGACGGTATTTATGTCATCCACAACTATAAACAGGTATCCCCCTTTTTACAACTGCAAGTTTTACTGGTGCATCTCAGAACTCAGACTAATTCCTGCCTCTCTCCTTATCACAGCGGATAGCTGCATCATCAGTTTCCCCCTCCCTGCAGTATTTTGGACGAAGTTTGAATGCTCAATTGGATTTGGATGGAGATGACCTAATAGACTTGGCAGTGGGAGCGCAGGGAAGTGCTGTACTGCTCAGGTGGGTAGGATGAAAAGTGTAACAGGCAGAAAGCAGTGCAAGCAGTGTTAGATAATGGAGCCACATAAAACATAACTTGTGTATCATCTATAAACAACAAGTTCCCACATTTAGAATCATAACAAAAATTTCTACTGGCTATTACAACTGTGCACATAAATGGATAAATACTGCTTTTTGAGACTGTCCCTTCTGTCTCTAGCTCTCGCAGCATCGTCCAGATCAATGTGAGTCTGTCCTTCCAGCCGCACTCCATTAATGTCATTCAGAAGACCTGCCAGAGAGGAGGCAGAGAATCCTCCTGTCTCAATGCCACCGCCTGCTTTACAGCCATGTCCCGCTCCCCAAGACCACGCAGCAACAGTTTTGGTTGACACATTTATATATTTATATATATTTTATACATATATGTATATATTTTATAAACCCTACATTAAGTAGCATATCCATGGAGTTTTTGCCTCAGTTGCATGATTTCTCTTCAGATCTGTGGGTGCGGGCCATGTTGGATGACAGGAAGTTGTCAGCACGGGCGCTGTTTGATGACAGCTCCCACCGACAGACCCAGCTGGCTGTCCGAGCCCAGACAGGGAAAACTCTGTGCTACAGACTTCCCTTCCATGTCTATGTGAGTGTCGGTACACACCTTCCATCTTTCATTCACGCACAGCAGGATGGGAAAGTCACATTTTTTTCTGTCTTCAATGTAGGACACAGCAGATTACATTCGTCCTATCAGCTTCTCACTGTGGTTTAAGATCAACAACACAGAAAGTGGTCCCGTGCTGGATGAAGGGTGGCCGACTACTATCAACAAATCTGTGAGTGGCACAAAAATTAGCGCTATATATCCTTGTTGTTGTCCGCATTCGTTCAACATGCTGCTCCTGCCTCCCATACCTGTCCAGATCCCATTTTTTAAAGACTGTGGTGAGGATGATGTGTGTACAACTGACCTGGTGCTACAGGCACACACGGACATCTCTGGGACAAGGTACAGAACTGAGATATTCTGGTGTTCCCTCGCTTCCCTTTTTTTTGGTCTCAGTGAGTTTTCATTGTGTTTCCTCCACAGACAAAAGCCTTATGTGATTCGCAGCCCTCGTAGGCGTCTGGCAGTGGAGGTGCAGCTTCAGAACAGACTGGAAAACGCCTACAACACCAGCCTGACGCTGCACTACTCACACAACCTCCACTTCTCCAGCCTTAGCATCAGGGTAAATACAGCACATGTACTGCTATTACATGAGGGACCATGTAACCATAAACATCTATCTACATGCACAGATCCTCTCTTTCTTCGTGTCTTTTCTTTCATTGTAGGAGGTTGCCCACTTCAAGATCGAGTGCACAGCTCTTAGCGCCAACAGCCACTCATGCAATGTCAGTTATCCAGTATTTCGCTCCCAGTCAAAGGTACGTTCGTGCTGAGGAAATAGCTCCATCAATCACTCAACTCAGCCCACACATACTTCTCTTCCTCCAGGTTAGATGTGGCACTTCAGCAAGTTGCTGCTCTCTTTTTTGTTTGCAGGTTAACTTCCTGTTGGAGTTTGAATTCAGCTGTACATCTTTGCTCAATCAAGTGAAAATGAAGCTCTATGCATCCAGGTAGCTGTCTGCAAAGTAGCATGCATGCACACATGTTGAGATGCTGGAGTATTTACAGATGAGGACAATATTTGAAAAAAATATTTAAAAACTGACTGTTTTTTTTAATTGAGCCATTGCACCAATCAGTGCTGTTCAGTGATGTGCTTTAACTTTGTAATGGTCAAAACTTGTAAAATTAAAGGTTATCTTTCAATTTGCACACAATATAAAACCTACAGCAAAGGTTTGAGCTGTCACTTGAGAAAACAGCATGCGACAAACAAAATACCTCAGTTTAGACTTGAGAAAAAAAATTATTGGTGCGCACAAGTGAGAAGTATCATCACAAAATTCAAATAGAGCCAAACAGTACAGAACAGAAAAGACTGGCAGAGGTAGGAAGTGAAAAATTTCAAATACTCTGGAAAGAAAACTAGTGAGAGATGTGTCAAAAAAAAAAAACAGAACAACTGCCAAGAGACTATTGAATGACTTAGCCAAGTCAAGATATGTAATCTCAAAGAAGACAGTCAACGCCACCCTGGGCAGGAATGGACTGCAACATACCACAAAAAACGCCACTTCTACATAAGAGACAGCTTCAAGCCAGACAAAAGTATGCTAAGAACAACCTGCAGAAATATTTTATACTGGGATAAACTGGAGTAATACAGAATAAAGCTGGAATTTTATGTGTACTGAAAGTACGTCCTGTGGTCAGTTAAGACGAAAACCAGAGTTCTTTGGCCACAGAGATGCAGCTTGTGTTTGGAGAAAGAAGGACGAAGCGTACAACCCAACAAACATCGTCCCCACAGTGAAACAGGTGGTGGGTGTATTATGCTGTTGGGATGCTTCAGTGTGCCTGAAACTGAGAACCTCATCAAAGTGGAAAGCATCCATTGATTGGATCCCACTGTAAATCTGTGGGGTGAACTAAAGACCAAGGTCCATGCCAGAGGACATCAAATGTTGAGAGATTGGGCAAAGAAGAATGTGCTGGGATTGTTCAGGAGATGCATGCGAGACTGACTCCAGCTTGTTTTTCAGCAAAAAAACTGGTATTTTTGTGAAATAATTTTATCTATGTGTGCAAAGTAAAATATTGTAAGCATTCAAAATAAAAGTAAGATGTTTGGAAAAACCGTGTAAAAAAATCCTTACTCTGTTTAACAGCACTTGGGAAACACTTAAAAAAAGAAAATTTAATAATAATTCTGTCTTCATCTGTTTGCATCCACGTTTTGAGATGCTGGAGTATTTAGGAGACATTTAAACTGAGACGCTTTCGTAACCCTTCTTTTGTCTTACAGTGACAGTGTGGAGAGACAAGACACTTTGGGGGACAACAGTGTTCAGCTCCAGACTTTTGTTCAGTATGAACCAGACCTTTTTGTTAGCAGGTGTGTTTGTACAGCATCGATCTAGTTAAGCTTAACTCATGAACTGGTTTATCTCTGCATTTATGTGCTGTTCTTTTCCCTGTTTTTGCAGTGAATCTAATTTGAACCGCTATGAGGTCCATCCTACTCGGACAATGTCGGAAGCAATTGGACCAGAATTCTACACACATCTCAGGGTAAATGTATATTCTCTATATAGGTCCCAATAAAAACTTATAATTATAATCACAGTAAGAAAAATAAGACAAGGCAAACGTTTTAGCTTTGTTTGTGTTTATAGCTGCAGAATCTCGGCTGTTACTCTGTGAGTAATCTGGAGCTGCGTCTGCATCTGCCCTCTGTGGCTGCAGGTGACAGAGTCTTCATGACTGTCACCGATGTCTTCTCAATAAACGTGAGTACTGCTTCTGTGTATTCTTATCATGCTTTAAGATCGTACCTGACATATGTAAATTACCCCATAGGTCACGGTGAACTGCAGCGTGCTCAGTGATGCAGCACAGCTGAAGGCCAGACAGGGAGATGTGCGCCCCCTTCATCCTGAAGACATGATACAGGATGACATGTTGGTAAGGGCCTAAATTGCCACAGAGCTGCTGGTGAACACTGCAAAAGCAAAGATGTTAATATGGCTCATCTTTACATGTTTTCGTGTGTAGAACTGCAGCAGGTCATGGTGCACAGAGGTTGTGTGTCAAGTCAAGCAGCTGCCGAGAGGAAAGGACGCCATCATTCGGGTCAGCCGCAGAGTTCATGATGATTTTTTCAGACATGTGAGTAACAAAACATACGCAGATTTTTAAATTCTGCTCCTGTGACACAAACATTGGTCATAATCTGTGTGCCTCTTCCTCTAGGCCAAATATAAGTCAGTGAAGATAATAGGCGTCTATCGACTCACAGCTCAGGAGACTAACCTCATTACTTTGAGCGCAGGAACAGTCTGGAGGGAGGTAAGACCCAAGAGAATCCTGAGCAGCACAATATGCATAAAATTAATTTCCTCTAATCTCTCCCTTCATCTCTTTTCCTTAGACTGTGCTGGAAGTGCTGAAAGGCCGAGCTATTCCCATCTCGCTCTGGATTCTGATTGGTAGCATCATAGGGGGTTTGCTGCTGCTGGCCCTCATTATTTTCATACTGTGGAAGGTATTTGGAACTGAAATTTCACATCAGATTCCTTCAAGAAAATATCAGAAAGTAGTAAATATGTCTCAATTTCTTGTTTTCTGTTTGCTTGTTTTTATCAGCTTGGATTCTTCACACGCAAACAGAGAGAAGAGGATGAAAACCATGAGGACTGAGCAAATCCTTTGCTGCCAAGAACACACTCATCTGCAATGAAGACTGTCAGATGAGTAGAGCCCACCTCCTGCCAGACACAAAGATAGTCCCGAGATGGGCCTTCAGGACCAAAGAGTATTGGGGAGGGGGTTCAACAGTAATGCGCTACCCACTGTTTCAAGGGTCAGGGGCACTTATGTAAATAATCTTTTTCTAATTTTAAAGAAATGCAAAGTGTATTAAACCACAGTCCTTCTATTTAACTTGCAGACATTTTTATGGTTTTATATTTCAGTCACTTGATTCTTCAGTTTTTGTTTGTTCTTTAATTAAAACAGTTAAAGACAAATTCTTGGTCTTTATTTATTCACTGCTGATGTAAATGTAATAACAAAAAGAAAAAGCAAAAAAAAAACTGATTTTATTTCAGTCCAAACAGAAACATCTGAGCTATAAACTATAAAACAGTCATACTTGACACGCACGCAGAAATCATACACAAAAATTAACTGCATGGATGAAATATAAAACTCCAAAGTATAAGTCATGAAGATGCATTGGTTGAGTTGATGTAGGACTCTAGAAGAAAGATGGTTTCATCTACTTGGTTTTCTGCAGAATCTAACCTAAAGGAGAAAAAGACAGTGAAAAAAGGACTTGATTAAACCACCGAAGAGCCTTGTCGCCTTTAGAAAAGAGAATTTTTGTTTTGTCTTCCTACTTATTGATGTGAAGCCTTAAGGTATCCAGCTGTTGCTTTTCAGGAGCAGTGATCATCTCCTCGACTTCAGTTAGCTGCTCGGGCTCGGCCCCGCTGACCTGCAGAGATGCCAAGATGGCTTCGATTCGCTGAGATTTCTCCAGCAAACGCCTGTAAACCAAAAACCATCAACCCATTTCTTTGTGGCAACGTGCGTGCCAGACGAAAGATTTTATCTGCCTTGCACTGAGATGCATCAAAATATATCACTAATGAAAAGACTCACTTGCTCTCTTTGGTCTCAAAGAGGCGTCGCTCTACGAGGTTGGCTACGGTCTGCAGAAGAAAAATATTTAGAGATAATGTTACCGAAGGCAAATACCAGAATGAAAGAGAATTAGCTGTCTTCTTCTGTTCAGAACTCTAAAGGCTACATTTAATGAGTTTACTGTTTTACCTTGTAGCAGCTCTGGAGCAGCATTCTTGCAGTCGGGAGTTGATTAACAGTGTAAAGATAGAAGGTGCGAGAGGGAGCGTAGTCAGGAGTCTTTGGGATTTCCTGAAAAACAAGGGGGCAGATTGCATGCCTGTCACACTTACATGTTTCAGATCATCAAATAGATTTTAATATTAGACAGAAATAAGCTGAGTAAATACAAAATGCAGTTCTAAAGAAACACCTATATATTACATATCACTTGAACAGAAGCTGTCTCACAAAGTGAAATAGGCTGAAAGATGTCAAAAAGCAAAGCATCACGATCTAAAGACACAGCTGAGAAACAAAGTCATTGACTTCAATCATTCTGGAAAAGGTTACAAGCCACTTCTAAGGCTTTGGGACTCCAGCGAATCACAGTGAGCGCCATTGAGAGAGATCCAAGAACAAAACACCTGCTGACCAAAAAGAGCACAAACCTTGACTAACATTTGACAAGAAAACATATTGATTATCCAAGACTCACTCAGTTTATGCAGTAGCTTGTGCAAAGGCTTAGTCAAAGTCCAGACTTAAATCCAACTGAGATGCTTCTTCATGACCTTAAACTGGCTGTTCGTACTGGAAAAACCTCAAATTTGAATGAATTAAAATATTTCTGTAAAGAACATTGGGCCTCCACAGTGAGGAGGCCCAATGTTGAAAGACTCATTGGCAATTATTGCAAATGGCTGATTGCAGTTATTGCTGCCAACAGTGGCACAACCAGTTATGTGGAGTTTGCATGTGTGGGTTCTCTCTGAGTACACCGAAACAACTAACAGTCCATCATCCGCATACCTGTAGCTGGACCAGGTTCTGTGACAGCAGTGTGTACAGCATGTCTTTAGCCTCTTTGGCTGGAATCATAGCAAAATCCTCCACCTGCTTCTGCTCCAGGTGACGTTTTCTTAGCAACAGACGAAAGATGCGAGCCGACCGGGAGCCAAACCTGATGTCAGATTAAGAGTGACTTCAGTAACACGAAGCTGGTGATAATAGGACACTCACAGCTATATATATTATTTAACATACACACTGGCTTACCTCTCCTGTACTACAGACTCAAGTGTGGCCCGTGCCAGATTGGCCAGTGCTCTGTGCAGATCTGAGAGAGGAGCTTAGAAAAGCAACCGTGATTCCTGAATTAAATCATATCAACCAGTGTGCTGCTTCATAGGAAAATGCTCAGGACCTTTTAAATCTGAAAAAGGATACTGACAACAAACATCCCTCCTCCGCTTTCACCAGCCTTCCCCACAAACTCCATCTTAAAAAAGAGGAGGAAAAGAAGATAGAGACATTATGTTTTTTGTTTATTTAAAAACAAACAAACAAAAAAGATCAGAAAACATAATATGGTGTTTGCAGATCATACCGGGTCATCCACCAGCAGAGTGAGGTACTGGTCTAAGATGGGTCTGAGGATGTTGTAGCTGGGTGGGAGGGACCTGAAGATCTCATTGGCTGAGAGGGGCTTTGTACAGGTGGCCATGGGCGAGGTTGTAACCTCACTCATCCTCAGCATGGTCCTCACTATTTCACTGCTAGTCTGCATATTGAGGATTAAGAAGATAATTAGTCATTAAATTCTTAATCAATCACAATAATAAACCATTCTAGTATATGCACATATACTATACTAAATATCCATTTATAATGACTATAACATGCTCTTTCACAATAAGAGCAGGCTCATATCATCGCTACTCATAATGACATAATGACTTCTTCATTAATTGAATTAATGACATAACAGTGGCATCCATATTTTCTTATGAATGACTAAGCTTCGCACTAAGGACTCTCAGGTCTGGAGGTTCCTGCCTGAACTACTAATGCCTGCATAACCAGCAGTAGCTTTAAATGTATGATCAAAATGTACCTTTTATTAATAAACTATTTCTCTCTACTGTGTTTTTTGTAGACATTTGTTATATTTCTAATGTTGTAGCATATTTTGTTTTTCCTTTGTAAACCACATTTTTAAAAGGTGTTGTGTACATAAATGAACAATAATAATCAACAAAATAATCTTCATAACGCAAGAAAGTAAATGAGTGTCCTTAAATTAAAAATGATAATACTTTTTCCCATCACCTGGTCCAGCTTGTTGGCGACAGCACTGATGATGGTCTGATCTCTAAAGTGGAGATGGAACCGTTCAAAATTCACCTGCCAGTAAATCCCCTCGTCACCATGTGTCTGAGCCGAATGAAGCAGAGCATATGAGAGGCAAACAGAGAAATAAAAGGTCACATGAATGATAAGTGGGAAGGTAGATATAATGGATGGAGGACATTGCAAATTTGTTAAAGTAACCAAAAAGGTTAAAAAAAACTAACCTCTGGATCCATTTTGGCCCTTTTTGCGCTTCTTTGCTCCTCTCCATCCTCACTGGCGAGCTGGCGTTTGCCCCGCCCTATGAGTGTCACACTAGGTACCTTATAGCATTCTGGGAAGCTCTCTGGTGTGGGTGGGGCAGTGTTAACGGGAGCAGCCGGAGTACCAGGAGCGGCAGGAGTCTCACTTGGAGCAGAACTGTCTTTATTTCCCACTCTTGGCAATGGAGGGCAGCGCTGAAGAAAATGGGTCTCCACCAGTTTGGAAAAAGTCGAGGACACTTCACTGTAATCCATGGTGAGGCCCTCTGCAGCAACAACAGAGAAAAAGTGGTGTTACCAAGTCATATTTAATTCCCTTTTCACACAGCTAAATTACAAAGACAGTGCAAGTACTAGAGTCTCTAACAAAGGTCCAACATTAATAAAGTACTAGTTCACTCATAGGCCTCCAAGTTTTTTGGGAGATATTCATTTGAAACCTTAATTGCTAATCCTGACATTTTTTTTCCACATAAACATTTAAACACTGCCTGTAGCAAATGGCATGTCCATCTACTAGACCAAAATCCAGCTGTCAAAACATCCACTGATAGAAGTGTGTGTTCTTTGCTTGATGCCAACACTGACCTGCCATGTTCTGCGTGAGGCGGTCTGCCACCGTCTTAACGGTGCTGCTCATCGTCGTGTGGCCTCTCTGTAGTAACTCCTCTATGATCAGCTCTCCTGTGTCACCATACAGGGTTTTTGCAGTGTAGATGTATCGTGGGTAGCGAAGAATCCTAAGGATTCGGTCACAGCTGGCGTGATACTCTGTGGGGCTCCCGGGTCCTTTGCGGCCTGAACTGAACGTAGAGGCACCGTGTTGCACGAGGACACACAGAGACTTCTTCACCTGGATTTGGAAATAAATAAATGAAAGAAGAAAAAAAGTTTATCGCTTCCTTTGATATTTAATATAACTGACAACGGTCAGGTAAAGACAGAATTCAATGCGATTCAAGTTTCACTAATACAGAGAACAACAACAAAAAAAGACATTTTCCTTATTTTCATTGTCTGGTTTCCTAGCTTAGATGTTGTTGTTTCTAGATCCACATTTCTTTTGAGAAAGGTAAAATTGACAAAACTTGACTGGAGATTAATAAGAGTGTAAAATATGTGACCAATGGCAGGCTAATACCTATAATCCACATCCAGCGAGTTAGACTATGCACCACAAAGCATGAAGGTCTCTGCAGAAGAACTGCAGCTTAACCATTTTTAAAAAAATCTATTCTAATTAATAAGGTAAAAGTAGGATTTAATGAGGTAACTCCAAATTATGTGCACTTTCCTGCCTTTTTTCCAGTGTATTATGCTCAGAAAACTACATCTTTGCTTCTGTTCGTTATGCAAAGCTCCATTCAACTTAATTACCATATGCCCTTAAATGCTACTTTGTACTGTTCCCTTATTCACATTGGTTGCCACAGCGGGTAGCTCCAAATGTATGATTTGGCTGATTTTGATGCCACCTTCCTGACACAATCTAAGGGGATTTATTTCTCCTCCTGGGGTCAAACCAAGCCACTTCCACTTGTTAGACAACTGTGTAACCCCTACACTATGGAGCCATCTATCATATCTAATTAGCTTTTTATAAAATAATAATTCTAACAAATAAAAATGTAAGACGACAGAATTTTCAGATAAATGGCCATAAAGCCCTAGCTGTTGGAACACAGTGTTATATAAATAAATACAATAAATATAAACTCAACAAGCTTAACAAGCCGAGGCCGAGATGGTGTAGTACTCCTTACCAAGTCCACTGAGAGGCCAGTTTCATGAATGATGGTTCTTAAATTTTGTGCTCCACATTTGAGCAGGTGTGTTCCCACTTTCTCAACCACCTCTCCAAAGTGCTCCCGCAGCAAAAGACCACACAGGCGCACTTCTTGGGCTGTCATCTGCACAAACAAAAGAACAGGAACACACAGGTGATGAAAGGTCTAAAATCTAGTATAGCTGTAAGTAACAACTTATATCAGTACAAAAACAGTATTCCAGTATTCCTCTATATTCCTTTAATATAGTGTTATTTTTCTTAACACCTGGATGTAATAAACCTGAAATTAGAATCATATCAGGATACAAGAGATCTGTAATTTAAGGTTAAATAAGTTGCCCCCTGCAAAAACCAAACCAAACTCTTATCTCTGTAAAGACTAAGACATTTCTACAGAGAAGTAAATGCTTTTTATGGAGTGTGTGAAATATATTTTTATTATGACGGAGGTGGACTGCTGTTGCTATGTGCAAATCACTGGTTGCTATGTGTTCATATATGAAGATGTACATAAAACCCCATAATAATTTGTGTCCCCTTACTAGAAGGTGCAAACAATATATGGTTTCTATCTACAAGCACACAAAGAAATATAATTGAAAAGGGGAGAATTAAAAAAGGAATGCTAAAATAAGCAATGTAGGATGTGTCTCTAACAGTGGACTTCTCACATGCTTGAATCACATGCATCACTTGTTCTATACTAACTTCAGACTCAGAGACTCTGAAGCACAACAGAAACTGAAAACCCTTTTTTAACAACAAAAACAACAAATAACAACAAAAAAATGATTAGGAATCAACAAAGACTTGGATCTATAAGCAAAATCTGTGTCACTGCCATTAGCAAAATCTTACCATACTCATCCCTAGTACAGATCAGTAGGCAAAATCCTGAAGCAGCTAACTTCAAACAAACAATAGCATCTTACTCATTAATAATGATAATGTTATTAATAATGGGAACCGTATGACCTAAAAATACTCATGATAAGGCCTGAAGCCTTATCAACAAATTGGAGGTCCATTTCCTGGTAATTGTATGAAATTCATCAGCAGCATTAAGACCAACATGGGCAGCAAATACAGCATAAAAACTACAACATCTGATTTATAGTTAATAATAAATCATTTTAAGCCAACGTTAGCACCATCACCTCACATCAAGCAGGTCCTGGGATTGAATCTACTGGCCAGCTTGGGATTTGAAACAGCTGGGGACTTGAAACACTGTGGGTTCGCTCTGGGTACTCCAGCTTGCTCTCACAGTCCAAAAATTTTGTTCACATTGTAAAACTGATTTAAAATATATTACCTAGATTAGTTTGCCAACAGCATGAACAGACCAAACAATACTTACAGCACTGGCATGTAATAGTGATAATAAAACGCTTGACTTTTTGTACAGTTGTAGCTAAATTAACAATGACAACTCCACAGTTTCTCCCTCCCCTCTGGCTGAAGTCCACATATCTTGCTTGACACACAATACTTTCTTTCCAAACTCACAGCAGTAATCTCACTCAGTCTTTATAACATTAGTTACCTCTGTATATCTCTCACACTCAATAGTACCACCATCCAGGTTGCGTCATCCATCGACATCTTTAACTCCCTTCTCAAGTCCATCCAGAAATTCAATTTCTTACAACATGCCTGTACTTCAGGAGTTTCACTGGCTCACAGTTAAATATCCTATTGATTACAGAACATCACTCTGCAGTATCCCTCTGAAATTCTGCACATCAACACACTCATCCACAATCCCAGATTTTCTTCTTCTCTCCATCTCATCGCCATTTTCGCCTGTTTGACTACCATGAGGTCTAGAGGCTTCATTTGCTCTGTTCCACGCCTCTGGACTTGCATCCGACCAGAAATCCACAACACTGACTCTCTTCATTTTTAAATCTCGTCTCAAAACTGGCATATGCACTCTGACTGTCTTCCACCTATTATATTAAACCTCTGCTCTTACTGATTTTATATATTGTTTTATTGACTTGATCGATATTTTCTTATTTTTATATTGTTTTTCAATTCTTCAGCGTAAAGTAACCTTGGTTGTTTTGAAAGGCGCCTAATATCACGTATTACTGTTATTATTACCGACTGTCTCTCCACACCTCCCTACACTCGTGTTTCCAAGTGTAACTGATTTGTCACAAAAAGAGCTGGCACACAACATGAACACAAAACAATTAATGTTTTATTTTTCAGATTATGTCGAGATATTTCGATAGCAACCACATTATTTTTGGTAGTTACAATCTGACAACAGAACTGGTCTTATCTAGGCTAAAAGTTGTACTGCACATTACTGAACAGAAACAACAAGTTTCCACTTAGATTTAAGCCACTGCAGACCTCAGTTATATTTAAACCACTGTTAATGAATTTCTAAGCAACTGTGTAAATGACACATTGTGCAGAAGCATCTTTGTCGAGTACAGAAAAGAGTTTTGTCTAACCCCAAGTTAACCCTGTGACCCATGCTAAGCTAACTGAAGCTAACATTTGCAGCTGACCATTTCAGCCATTCTTTAACACTTTAAACAAACCTTTTGAGCTGAGAAGTTTCTGAACACACGCTGCTTTTATTCTCCGTCACCCGAACTGAACACTTCACGTGAGGCTTCTTGACGTCAACACACGAACACTTTTCCTTCCGCTCCTCGGTGAGCTGGGACTCCAGCCAGCGGCGCCGCGGTGCATGCTGGGCTGGAGGTGGACGGCTGCCTTCGGTTTGTGGAGGACCGACGTCAGTGTTTGTGCTGCTCTGGGGAAGATGGCGGAGGCTGCGGCTGTTCCCCCGCATCGGTTTTTCTGTCACTGTTGTAAAGGTGAAGTAAACCCCAAACTCCCGGTAAGCAGGAGGCTTTTCTTGTTTATCTGTCAGACTCTTTTAAAATACGTCCGGCTGACAGCTCTGCCTCACCGCTAACGGCCATTTGTTCCGCTTGCTTTCTCGCTACAGCTAAGCACCAGCTAGCCTGTTAGCAGTTAGCCACGTCTGCTGTTGTTAACTCACTAAAATAAACTCCAGCTACGAGCTCCGTCAAAGGAAAGGGGTGGGGGAAAAACTGACATTAAAAGCAAATATCGACAGGTTTTGTTAGACTTTCCTAGACGTTTCTGTCAAAGCAGTGTACTCGAAGCTCTGCTTTGACAGTTCGGGGATGTTGTGTTTTTCCTCAAAACAACAAGGACTTGTCGAAAACATTTGCGTTACTGCTGCCTTTGTTCAGTGCTTCACACTAAACTTTAGTTGCCTGACAACTGGTTAGTTTTTAATTTCCGATAAAAACGCAGTGTTGACAGGACGAGTTAGGGGATTTTTGGAAACATAGTTAAACATGTCGTATTCAGTTTCAGTTTTGAAGTTAAAAGTAGAAGCTAAACTCTGGACTCAGAGCTGACCTAAATCGTGACATACTTACCAACTTTAACGTGTTTGAAACATGTTATCCACGTCTTAAATAGTATGGCGTGTGTTTGTATTCAGTGTGTTACAAGTGTATTAAATACAACAACCTAAAATTAACCTACTCCAATACAAGGTTATGGTCAGCTGTAGCTTTCTCACAGTTCTCAGTGGCACTGTTTACTACTGTGGTGTTTTGTAGGTGAAATTTCAGATTCCCCCCAATAAAAAAATAAAAATAAATAATTGCTGATTCTCATAGTCCTTTAAGAAAGTATTTTTTGTTTGGACAAAAATAATCGTATACTGTGGACAAAGTCTGCCCTGTTTAAAAAAAAAAAAATTACAATATTCACAAGGAACTGTTGACTGGTTTTATATCACCACTAGAGTCACATTAATCTTTTAATTTTATGATCCAGATGAGGGTAATTCCACTCCTCCTTGTCACTGACTCTAAAGTGTCCCAGGCACAGTCAGTCCTATGGCATGTCTTCATTGAGCTAAGTGACTCCAACACCTAAGATTGTCGACCTGTGCTACTACAGTACAGCCCAGGCACCAGTCCTCTTTCATCTGTCCGTTTTATACAACAGACTGGATAATCTGTGAGGTTGTCCAATTTGACACTCAACTGATACAAACTGTTTTGCTTACGGCAAAGTTTCTTAACACGTTTTAACCACAAAATTCATTTTAGATCCCCAAATTTCTCTATGCTGTGCGAATATGAGTTTTAAAATTGTCATGTGAACTTAAGCATGGTATAAGCATAATACAAAAGGCTGGTATTTTTGTGACCTACTTTTAATACACATATGCTGTTCAACAAGGGTATCGCTTTAATCTCTCATAACCCTATCTGTATATTAAATGACCCCGCTTCTATCCTGTTTTCATGTTTTATAAGTCTGTGCTTTTAGTGTACAACTGCACCAGCTGCACAAATAAACTGGTAGCAGTGTTTTCCTCATTCTGTTACACAGGTTTTCTATCACGCCTCTCTTTAGGTGTGGTTGGCAGACCAGCTCTACCTACTTGGTTGCATTCACAAAATACAGGCCGTCACACTTCTTACTGATATTATCTGGCTGTACTTCTTTGTGTGCCATATTAGACCGCAAAATGTCTTTACGTGCTGTAATTATTTTGTGGAATGGATGCTGATTTGACAGTGATAGAATATTACCTTTTGTCACATCTCATTTTCACACATGCAAAGTGGTGTATAGTTAACCAACACAAACAAATACTCGGTTGATAGTGTAATTGAGTAATTGAATTTTAATGTAAAAATTCCAGGTATTTATTGATTCCTGATTTTTTTTTTCTGTGAGAATTGATATAATTGAGAATAGAATATTTAAATTACTGGATAGTTTATGTAGTATGAATAGTTTGAATAGTATGGTCTTGGAAATTTTTTTTAAAAAATTAAAAAATGAATTTTTCCTCTTTTATTTGACTCTTACATGGCTCAATCTATTTCTAGGAGTACATCTGTCCGAGATGTGACTCGGGTTTCATTGAGGAAGTAACAGAAGACTCCAGGTAAGAGGTTTTTGTATTATCGTCACTATCCATTTCACTTCTCTAGACAGCATATGATGTCTACACACACACAGGCTTTAGCTGGAACAAGAGCAGGGACATGTACTGAAGAACGCTGATGTTGCACTGTTGTAACTTGTAGGCTCACTCTGCAGTTTTGTTCCAGGCTTACACTACAGCTGAACAGTGCATGTTGCTAATAATGAGTCTTTTGTCCCCTTGTGCGCTGTTTCCCTCAGTCTCCTAGAGGTCGGCGCCAATGGGCTAGATGACACAGCCACACAGTTTGCAGAGGTATGACATGATCTGAAAGATTTGGGGAGTTGAGGAAGGAATACGGGATAAAGAGGTTTAATTAACATGATTGTATGTTTTACTTTACTTAATCTTTTCCTTTTCTTCTGTTACTGTTCTTTTCTTTATTATTATTTCATCAAGCTATGGCACCTCTTGTTAGTCGAGCGGCCATTTACAAGAGACATTGACAGCCCAGACTCAGAACCTAGGCTCCCTGGTGGGCGCCTGGGGAGTTTCAGTGACCTAGGAGGGTTAGGAGGGGGACCAATTGGGGGATCTGTCCCAGCAGGCCTAGGAGGATCTATGGGGGGCCTACTAGGAGCTGGGGAACACTGGGGACCAGGACGCCCCCCTCGTCTGAGCAGCCAGAGGAGATACCGGTCTAGAGGCAGCAGTAGGCCAGACCGCTCGCCCGCTGTGGAAGGGTGAGTAACACACTAGTTCATCATTTTTCCTGGCTCTATTCTCTGCCTTGAATACTCCCACTTATAATGACAGTGCTATTTATGCTTTCCCCCGAACCGATCTTATTTTTGGTAATGACATTAACTGCTGTACATTTTCTGTTTGTCAGAATTGTACAACAATTTCTTGCTGGTCTTTTTGCCAACTCTGGAATCCCTGGCTCCCCTCCCCTGTCATGGTAATATGACATTATAGAGCAACAAGGTGTTACTACAATTTAAAATAACATTATTATTATTAAAAAGGTCTATTTGTTTTTCCTTCAGGACAGGGATGCTGCACTCTAACCCTGGGGATTATGCATGGGGGCAGGGAGGATTAGATGCTGTGATAACACAGGTAAACAAACTATAAAATAGTTTACAAAATTTGTGTTCTTCTCATGTATTTACATATGTGTCCGTGTCTGTGTAGTTACTAGGTCAGCTGGAGAACACAGGACCACCGCCAGCAGAGAAGGAGAAGATCTCTTCACTCCCAACTGTCAATATTTCTCAGGAACAAGCCGGTCAGTCACCTCTGATTATCTTTTTTCCTTCACTGTCCCCCGATGTTTCTTTATTCTGTCCTTGAAATACAAATTGCAGTTTTGCCATTGCTCGAGTTGTCAGGTCAAACCCCTATTTATTACTACTACTACTAAGTTTGTGTTTTAAATAGTGGTCGCACCTCTATTCATACCTCTTGAAGTCAGTGTGTTGTATGCTGTCCGCTTACAAAATAATCAGTAATGCATTCCAAAAAAATGTTAAACCAAGTATTACTTTGCTTTAGTTGTGTATGCGCACTCATTGACATGTTTCCATATAATGATGTTTTATTTTTACTTGTTTTCACCTTTGAAAAAAAAATAGCTAAGGACAAAGTGTCCATTTTGTTGATACATAGTTGTTTCAAAATCTTCACAGCACTTAAATGTCTTGTATACACTTGCTGCCTGTTAGAAGGAGCTTCTGAAACTGTGCCTGTTAGGGACGAAATGCCCAGTAGCCTTGACAATATATATATTTTTGCTTCCTGGTCTTTCACCTCCCCAATTTTCTTTCCTCTTTTGGCTCTGTTCTTCTTGACTTCCTCTTCTTGGTATGCTGTCCTATTTTACCACTCAGCTGTAACTGTGTGACTAGTTATGCTGTCCAGTTGCTGCAGGACTGTTGATAGCTGACTTTTAGGCATAGATGAATTTTCGGGTGCATTCTCAGGACTTTGTGTTATTCTCTGCTGAGAAGTGTAATGTATATCTCCTCAAGAAACGTAGCTGTACCACTTTGTAAACATGTGTGAAGCTGTCTCAAACAAAAATGACAAGGGTGTTGATGTCAGGAAAAGATTTAAAAACACATATCCTCTTCAATAGATTGCTGTATGGAATGCCCTGTATGCAAAGAGGACTTTAGAGTTGGAGAGCCCGTCAGACAGCTACCCTGTAACCACTTCTTTCACTCAGACTGTATAGTACCGTGGCTGGAAATGGTGAGTCACATCAAAAACGTTAAATATTTATTAAATATAACCATACCAGAGACCATACATGACATTGAGGATTCTATGTGTTATTTATTCACTTTGCATTTGAGAGCATTCAGATCTACAGGAACCTCAAATATGTGATTTGATTATCTGAGTCATGATGGAAATGCCATGTAGGTGGGACCTGAGTAACACTTAGCTTAAATTGATGATAATGGAGTGGAACTGATGAAGTGTTGTGTTTTAATGCCACTTCTGTATGCTGAATAATGCTTCCCGATAGTTTATTTATTGCAATGATACAGTCAGTGTTTTTATTATTGCATGGTGCTTTTAGTATGTTATCCTCCTCTGTGAATGTGTTATTTTGAAAATCTGCCTGGAATTTGCATGGGACAAAAGGTTAAAAAAAAATTACAAATCTGAAAATTTGTTTGCATTCATGATATTAGCAGTTGGGAAGCTGTGGATAGCACATAATTGGCTGAGCAGATTAAAAAAAATTTTAAAATGAGTCACAATCAAAGACAAAGAGCAGACTGACGTCATTTAAAACAGGCCCGGAATTATGTTCCACTTATTAAAACTCTTCTCAGACACTTGTAAGAAAACTGTACTTAGCAACTGTTTTCTGCATTTTATTCTGTGGCCGTGCAGCATGACACATGTCCAGTGTGTAGGAAGAGTTTGAACGGAGAAGACAGCAGCAGCCAGCCCCCATCAGAGTCCCCCTCGCTCTCCACGGACCCTCGCACACAGGAGAGATGGTCCTTCTGAGACACCCACCTGTCGCATCCCTTTAGTTCTCCTCGCCTACATCAAGCAGACAAAATGCTTCTCATTTCCCTCTGTTCATCTCCGTTGCAGTCATAATCATCTCTGTCTGAGTTTTTGTATTTTTACTTTTTATTATAATGCCTTTCTCCTCACCTGTGTACCAATGCAGACGTCTTAAGAGTCAGTTAAGTTCTGATTTATCTTTTTTTTTTATTGCCTAATAACAAACCAACCTAGATTGTTTATCAAGCCCATAGCCTCTGTACTTTGAACCCTCCAGGAAACTGCTTTCAAATCTTTTCTTTAAATATACTGCTGCAATAGACTATGGTGGAGAAATACCAGACTTCTTCATGCTTTTCCCTCTTTATTCATCTTAAGATTACCTAAATCCTGCAACTGAGCCCTGTAAGCATATGAAAAGACTGTAGGTGATTTTTTTTCACTCTACGCATGCACAGAGGCAACCCATAACAGCATGAACACCTTTATCCCTGAAATAAATGCTGTTTATGAAGGGTCTCTATAATGTTCTTTGTTGAGATTGTGTCAGGAAGATGTCGAGTGACTGTTGATATGTTAGTGTTTAATTGGATTGGACTGTAAAGGTGTTTATGTTTTTGTGTGCACACTCTGCAGTGTTTCAGGAGCACGACAGAGTCTTGTATAGGAATCATGTGGAGTTGCTGCTGTAAAATGGTCACAAACAGGTCGGACTAACTTCAGAGGAAAGTAAGGGATTCAAGACACCTTTCAGAACTCTTCTAAATCAGAAGTAAACAAAACAATTACCCATAGTACCAGCAAGGGAATAAAAATAAATCCTCAGAGCTTGGCCCCATATACAATGCTTCATATTTCAACATGCTCCTCCTGGTGTGTATAATATAAACAGCTGGCATCCCTCTGTCATTTTATTCCTGTTTACGACTGTCTTTTGTTTCACATTTTTATCACTTTTTGATGTAAATAATTTTAGTCCAACAACTTAAAATTTGCAAAGAAATAAACATGAGAATGGAGGCCCAAATGTGAAATACCTGGTAATGAAACTGTATATTATATATATGAAAAAAAATGTCTACGATAAACTGTCTATGATGTATTAATAAACTGGAAAAAAAAGTTATTGTTTCATTTTCATTGCTCACAATCCATGTAATAGTTGTTTCTCTTTGCCTTGAAAGATACTCTTCAAATTTCAAACATTTTGTTTTATTTAGTAAATATGATTAAAGAGCAACAACTTAAATTATTTACAGATTCAGTGCATTACATGATTTGATCAGAGCCATGTCAAGCATGTTATTAAAAGGAAATCAAGGCACCAGTGATTATGTACCACAGGCTAATGTATATATTCTTTTCAGGCATCATTTTTTCCCTCAAGACATTTGAAAGGGGAAATAATGTGTTGAATGTCTGGTTTCAAGTGGTTATTTTAAATGAATACTGGAATTACTCAAGTTATGTTTAAAAAGAAAAAAATCACAGCAAAACAAAATAATATGTGTGTGATAATGAAATTGAAAACATACTTAAAACAGCTTTTGTTTTAGGGGTTTTTGGACCAAACATTTGTGGAGACTCCCAAAGCCACACTGTGAAATCTTTCTCAAGAACTAGGGGCTTATAAGGGCTTTTTTCCTGTTTGTATTCACACTGCCAAAAGGAATGCTGAAGTGATGCAATCGCCCTACATTTATGTCAGAGGTTCCTCTTGCTTGCTTGGTCCAGAGGTAGGAGCTAAACAAAAATTAAGGCCCTAAAATCAGGAGGTTTTATGATCATCCTGTGTGCAAATTCGCAGAGAAATGCTTTTAATGTGGTTCAGCTGAAACAAATATGCAGTCTGAGAAACTGCTTTAATCATCACTGCCTTTTCCAAGCGAGTGTGAGCAGAGAATGAGCTGGAGCAGTGGAGGGGATGTAACCCACAGGAGGGTCCCAGACTTCAAACAGGATGTCTGATGATGATCTAAAAAAGAAAAATAAAGCATAGAAACAGTTCAGTGTTTACCCATCATGTCAAATTTCCTACAACAGATTAAATATGCCTTACCTGTTGAGTATGATGAGCACTAGTGAGCCATCAGGTCGGATGAAGGCAGAAAATTCCAGGTGTGTCTCTCCACTGGCAGACACCCCCACTCTCTGAGACCCCTCCCACAGAAACTTGCTGTGTAGAAAGATCATGTAAGAAGATCTCGGTGAAGTAATGGAACGGGTGAAATGTAGCATTCAGTGTGAGCAGAGATCCTGACTACCTGAAGTGGGCCATGCTGTAGAAAGACGGCTGCTTGTAGAAGACATCACGCGTCGCATCCACTATAACAGGGCTGTCCACTAAGTTTTTAACCCAGTTTGGTCCACCGTTCGGGTCCAGCGCCAGGTTCCAATCAGTCCAGCCGACCACATAATGATTCAAGTCCTGCCGTGGAGAAAAACACCCACAGTTTACTATCTGCTACCTCCTCTGTGTTTTGTAGTAAGATGTGTAATTTAGTCAGCCTGCTGAACTAGCGTTTTGTTTAGCTATCGCAGGGATTGCATGTCTACATAAACAAATTCCTCTGGACTCTCAGAGCGTCTGCAGCCTGAATTCACCCATGCAAAAGAGAGAGAATGGAAGGAGTCCAATTTCCCTTGAAAGAGAGTGAAGAAAGAAGAAACTAAACACCAGTTCCAGCTTGCTTTGATGGCCTGCAGGCCTGCAGTCTCTCGAGTGTGTGCACAACCTGCACTGCAGCACGAAGGGAGGTGACTCACCTTTCTGGAACAGCTCACAGCTTGTCAAATTCTCTTTTTGCAGTGGATCTGACTGAACAAGCACAAACCTCCACGCATCAGATAATATGATCTTACCTCTATAATGTCATGTGCATACTGTTCAGCTCTGTCCCAGCTTCCCAGCATCACTCCTTTGTTTCGTGGGTTCCAACCAGCGCAGGCCTCTGTGCCAAACAGGTAATACTCCGGGTAGAGGTCATGGGTGGTTCCCAGGCTGATGTCAGGTGGCACAATGCTGTCTAAGTACCAGTGGACGGCCACACCATGAATGTACCTTCCTGCATGAATATCACTTAAGACCTGGAGGGACAAGAGGGAAAAAATAACAACAATGAAAACAAGAAGCACTCAGAGAGCAGCTCAGTCGCTGGACAGTATTTACTATTAAGGGGATCCTTTTGCATTTTTACATATTCATTTTGTTTTCTTTGTTATTTTGAAATGTAACAAGTTTGCAGTGTAGTTAAAACCAATAGCTCATTTTAATATACTTCACATAATTTTGATTGTTTATTGTTTAGTACATTTGTTTAAATGTACACTAATAAATATCAAGTGAAAAAAGTTTTGCTTTGTTTTTTTTTAAAATTACACTTATTCATAAAACATTGTAAATGTACTCAAATTGGTATTTATTTAAAAGCTATAAGCTTATACTGTAATGTAAATAATAATGTCGTAATATATTAACATATTTAGAATCCCCACATATCCCTATATCCCTATAAGCGTATGTTGTCAGGTCAGAGATCAAACGTGACGTGACATTTTAAATCCTTATATGGTACTTTCTGTGTGTTGACAATACACCATACTTGTAAGAATCATAGTTTCTAAGCATTAAGACTTCGATTTTATCAATAAATCATTCAGTTTTATCAGAATTCATTCATAACATTTCGAGCTACTGTGTTTACAGATCACACACACATGCAAACCTCCTTGGCAGACATAAGGAATAAAACTTTCCACGTGGTTAAAGTAATAGCGCCACAATTTTCCAGATCAGTCCTAGAAAAGTATACACAAAATACTGGATTTATTTCCTCCCAAAAGGTTTCAGTAAAGTCTTTAAATATATGTTTCCTCACAGCCGCTGTAGACACTGAGTAAAGTAAATGTCCTTTTATGTGATTCCAATTCCAGTCACGACTCATTTTACCACTATAAACTCTCCTCTGGACTTTCATCGAGTGACACCACAGTTTTTTTTCTTAAAGTACTTCCCTAGCTTCAATAGGCTAACTGGAAGCTAATTATAGCATAATGGGTAAATACTGATTTTAATAAGTAATTTGGTTAAATTAGACTACAGGGCCACAGTTTTGCCTGTTGCTTGCATTTTTCTTTTGCAGATCCAACAACTTCCCTATTTTTTGGTGTAAATCAGTCTTTGGAGTTTGTAAGTGGCTAATTCATCCATATATACTTTAATATCCCTCCACAAGTCATGTTAATGGGAATTATGGTTGAAACAGTGATTAACAAGACCTTGAAAAGGAAAAATAATGCACTTCACTCAACATAATTGTGAAAGATGCCTTACAGTGTTAGTGGCTTTGACTTTATTTGTTGAACCACTGTAGAACATTTGCATTAATCTGCTTTTAGCCTGGTTTTATCTGATTCTTAACTGGTGTGAAATAGCAAGACAAGCGTCGTTCTTTGGGTTGATTTCTATCAACAGCTTATCAGATTGACATTTTTTCCTTGGCTGAACAGTTTGGACACCAAGTTTGTGAGACTTGAAATCAAAAAAAGTTCTTTATTCCCTCTTCCCCCTCTTGTATTTCACTACATTAGGATTTCAAGTTATCTTGCTAAGATGTTTTGGATTAATTTATTCTCCTAAAACTGATTCATTTTTAAATTTCTTATTCGCCTCAGGTAAAATAAAGTTAGCCATAACCTTTCCTGCTACCCTTCTGTTTACTGACTCACCACTTTGGCCCAGTGGGGCAGCAGAATGCGATTGTCATCCAGTATGAGGACGTGTGTGTGTGGGTATGACGAAGCATGCAGGGCAGGGCCCAGGTCCAGAGACACCCAGTCCCTCTGCTCCTCAGGAGTGAAGCCCAGGGCTTGAAAACTGCAGTGAGACAAAGATACTTGTCAGTCTGCTGCAAAATTTAGAATCCACAGCTTAATGCTTAACATTTTTTATATGAAAAAAACTTTTAATGCATCTGAGTAGACCTGTAGTTTGTCATCATTCCTGCAGAGGGCTCGTTTCCTGTCGTCAGTGCCCAGAAGGTCAAGTTATATTTAGCGTATTCCTCCAGGAACCTGACAGGAAATGATTAACGCACCAATCAGAATACATTTCTCTTGAATCACGCTCCTCCAATATCTGATATTAATCTGATTTTAAGCCACAGAAGTCACCTGACATAGTACTGAGCCCAGGTTTTATGCTCCTTGCCCCCTGGCTGGCCCTTCAGGGAGCCCTTTCCTGTGAGTGCTCCGTTCGTTTTCATCCAGGCGGGGGCACTCCAGGCACTGGCCAGCAGAGACAGAGGATGAGGAGACAAGGCCTGCGCACGCTGCAAGAGAGGGATCTGGAACACAAAGGAGGTAAGATGAGACATGGGCGACAACGGCCGTGTCAGCGTGCGAGACAAAAGACAGACACCTTCATGTTGATGTCTTCTGGGGCCAGAGTGAAATTGTGCAGATCATAGTCTCCAGGTGTGTCAGCATAGGTGTACAGACGTGTGGAGAAGTCACAGCTGGCCATGGGGACACGCACTACACTGTAGCCGATACCTGCCACAAAACACATCAACACAACCAAAGCTGGGGGATAAATCAGTATTATTACTCAACAATTATAGCATTTTATTCCACGGTGTAAAAACTCTTTAAAGAATATGTTTTAGAAGACTGGTGAACAAGCCATGCAATAGATTTCTAGAAATCTGAGGTATCAATAACAACGTCCAAGGAAGCTGTTCTGGCAGGATGCCCTTCATAGTAGCTGAGTCATGGCTGTAGTTGTAGTTTTTGGGCAAGAAAAGAACTCTGCAGGTGTGCTCAACTTTCACAGTCTTTCAACCTCCTCACCAGGAGAAGGCTCTTTCAGCGTTTTCTGCCGACCTACGCCATTGTACTCTCGTCCTAGTGAGCAGCCTCCACACAGAGAAGGGAATCCCAGACAGCCCACTTCCAATGGAGAAGAAAAAAAACAAAAAACCCACGTACCATCCTTTTTGTCCATACATTTGCCAGGCAGCTGTTGGTGTTTACTGGTCGACCGCTTTCCCACAGTGCAGTCAGCTTCACTAAAATGATTTCCTCCTTTCAGTTAACCAGATAAACACATCTGGCCTCAGCTT